ATAGGCCAGAAGTGGCTGCAGTACAAGGGACTTAGTCCCACCCCACTAGCAATAAACGAAACATTGGATAGGAGGTTGGGTGTGCCCCTGAGCCTCTCTGGACGACGTGGAGGAGAGAAGAATCGAACGCCGGTCGTCCAGCTCCTCGCTATACCGACTGAGCTATTGCTGCCTTTTCAGGTTGCGATGGGAGCCCAAATGGTCATGCCAAAGATCTCGGTGAGCACACAGGACTTCCGTTAAAGTTTGCGGCCCAAAGTACGGCGTAATCTCAAAATGTGTTGGACACACGTTAGGCCTGAACGGCTGGATGGTAGCGAGCAGTAGCCATAGAAACGTGTGGGGCATTATGCTCCAGTAATATTTAATCTCGGTAGTTGATGGAAATGGATGATTAGCTTCAATCAGTCTGCTGTCAGTAGCGAGAGACCATAACGTCGGTGATAGGTGATAAATGAATGTAGAGCAGTTGGTGGAATGATAAATTGCGGGGGAAACCGAAGTACTTTCACAAAACCCTTCCCAGTTCAACTTTATCTACGACAAATCCCACATGAGCTGGAATCGAATCCGGGACGCTATAGTGAAAATCCGGCATTGAGGTCTTCAAGTGTGTAAAACCTCCCCCGAGATGTGATCTGTTATGTGAAATTTGATGGAAATAGTTACACTGGTTTGGAAAGGTGTAAAGCACAAACCAACAAACATGCATACACGCACTCTTATTTATATTGTGGTGTATAGACCTGTTGGTAAACAGTGACTCTGTAAACAACGGCCGTTGCTACGTAACGCCCGTAACGTAAAATATGTGACATTCCAAACCTTAAAAAACGTTTATTTTTCGACATATCCTCCACCAACAGTGATGCACGTGTCCCATCGTTTTACCATTGCGTCGAAACCTTCAGCTTAGAAGTCTTGTGACTAATTGTGTCGGCCATTTCGGCACCTCCTTTTCAACCTCTTCGTCATCAGCGAAACGTTTACCACGTAGTTGTGAACCGCCTTACACGACAAACACTTCCCACCGGAAACATGAAACATTTCTTTATGAATATCCTTTGTATTGAGTCCTTCTGCCCGCAAGAAAACGCACAACAGAACGCTGCTCTTCAGTAGTACACTTCTCAAGCACGGTCGCCATTTTGACTACTGAAACCAACCTGAGGACATGCGCTTGCGCGTCTGCTACATAGACTGGCATGAAGCTGGACTGTGCTGCTACCTAGTGGTACACATATAAAACCTATTACTTCTATTGCAGCTGTTTTACTTCCATTTGTGACCTATTTACTTGCTCTCCCCCGTAGTTCCCTTGCTTTTAAGAAATAGGACGCCTTTTGTGGATTTCCTCAGTACCTCCAGACAAATATCGGTATAGTTCCCCGATTAGGCTACAGCCGTTTCCTTCCAGATTCTTTACTATTCATCCAGCCATCCTACCATTCGACTCTGCGTGGTCTAGATACTGATAGAAAGTAAAATTGCCCCTGTGCTTAACTAATTAAGCACTACGCCATGAAGGCGTGTGGGGGAGTGGATGTATAGACCCACGTTTTCTTGACCTCGGCACTAGTTGGAGATGAGTGGTCAGCTTAACGCCTCAGCAGCTTTACCCCCCGGGGAAAGCCCCCGGTACCCATTGGATAGAAGACTGGGTGGGCCCCAGAGCCGGCCTGGACGGCATGGAGAAGTGAAAATTGTTGCCCCCACCGGGAATCGAACTCCTAATCCTTGATCGTCGAGCCCGTAGCCAGTCGCTATACCGACTGAGCTAGGTACTGATAACACTCTAAAATAAAGGACAGAATGCAAACAAAATGGTACGAATATCAAGGTCGCTTCTGTGTCGTCCAGACCGGCTCTGGGGCTCACCCAGCCTCCTATCCCATGGGCACCTGGGGCACCTTCCTTGGGGGTTATGCTGCCGAGGGGTGAAACTGACCACTCACCTTCAACTAATGCCGAGGTCTACAATATATGAATCTGTACAGCCACTTCCCTCATACGCCTACATGGCGTAGCGTTTAATTAGTTAAGCCCAGGGACAACTTTACGTTTTAACTTTGTTTTATCACGGACGCTTCGTGCTGCAAGTTGCGCCTCCCGCAGTTGTCCTGGTCAGGCAGACTTGCAATGCTGTGGGCACTCAAAGGCGCAGCTGTTATTGAACCGGCCTGTGCCCCTATTGAATCGAATGTTGTTCGTGTTGTACGTGGAAAAACACGGTTTAGACGCAGCGGTTTTTAATTCGGTAGAACTTCTGTAGCCTTTAACCCTATTCGGGTGATTTCATAACGTGCTCAACACGTAAACCGCACCGTCTGGTAGCCTTCATCGCTGAGTGCGTCATTCTTGAACACTGCACAGCACAACAGATCCGTAGGCACGGTGACAACTTGCATCTCATTGCCCTTAAACTATCTCTATGACGTAACGTCTTGAAGGTATTTACCAGCGTTTCGGGTGAACCTTCTGCTTTCATCTTCACGGTACCCCCGAAAATGTAGGCTGCAGGTAAGGGTCTACCAGAAAACATGGCGTCATGCCCCATGAGACAGTAATCTTAATAGTGTGAACCCCAAATCTCGCGTCCTCTAATCCAGTTTTATGCGTCTCTTGCGCAAAGAACGTAAAATGCGTCCATAATGAAGAGGTAGTGTCCACATGAACTTCATGATTTTCTCTTCCTCTCTGTGGCTCTACAGCCTTTGGATCTTTGCCGCTTTTTCAGTTTCTTAACCCTATACACAGTCGGTAGGACTCCTTGGACAGGGAATCAGCCCGTCGCAATGTCTCTACCTAAACACAGAATAAACGCATACTGACATTTGTGCCTCGAGTGGGATTCAAACCCACGATCCCGGCGTTCGAGCGGGCGAAGACAGTACATATCTTAGACCGCGCGGCCACTGTGATCGGCTTGTCCTTCATGTATTATTTTCAGATCTAATCAGCGGATTTTTTATTCTTAGGCTGTTTAAAAACACTGTTTCAGCTACAGGTGTTGTTTATGTCTCTCTAGAATATAATTATTCTGGTGCTGCGTGAAATTATAGTAACACAATGAGCCTACAGATAGCATCACACGCGTTTGCACGTAGTACTAATTCTGCCGGTAGATGGTTCTGAGGAAACATACGAAGAACATCAGTCAGGATAACTGAGATACGAACCCAGGATCTCCAGAATACAAAGCAGGAATGGTACCCATTCAACCCTGACGTACTATACATTCTTAAGTTCTAAATGTCGGTATTTCTAATACAGTAAAATTTTCTCCGTGCTTAATTAAGCGCTATGTCATGAAGATGTATGGGAAAGCGGAGGTATAGCTCCACCATTCTTGACTTGGACAGTAGATGTAGGTGAGTGGTCAGCTTCAGGCCCGACCCCTTTACTTGCAGGGAAAGAGCCCCTGGTACCCATTGAATATAAGGCAGGGTGGGACACAGATCCGGTCTGGATGCTGTGAAATAGAGAAAAATGTTTTGCCTCTGCCGTCCAGCCCCTAGACCTTCGGTATATCGACCGAGCTATCCCGGCTCGTGGTAATTCTTTGTGCTTTGAGGAGATATGAAACGAAAAAAGTCAACTTTCTGTTGGTTCATTCATTACTTGAGACTAACAGTCAATTTCAGCGAATGGATTACGTCATAATTAGGAATTATCGTCGACATGAATATGTGTCCAAACGTTTTAATGGAGTGGGCCCTTCTCACGTTGCAATGGCGAGATACCCCATATGCAGCACATTCCTTAATGGCATTTCCCGCTACTGCAGCCAGTAACCATTTTCCTCAGGTTGGACTGTTGCCAGGTTCCTGGTCTAAGCCCTCGCTTGGAAAGGCATTTCTCCCAAATTTATGCTCTCAATGGGAGCCATTTACATCCCAAGACAGAACATTACTTACAGACAGACCCATTTGTGCGTGTTAGGCGGTTCCCTCTGTTATTGCAGTATTCATCACACACAGCTTGTATATACCTAAGGATGCTTCCCGCCTTCACGTGAACAAAGCCCGTATATTGCTGGCTTTAGCAGGAAACGTAGGCTTGTGGTGTAGTCGTGTTTATGTTTTCATCTCAACAAGATAGCCTTTGAGGTAATTGACAGATATTTTAAAATTTGTTATGCATAGAGCTGTTGCAGGTCATTCATCCCTGCCTAATATCCTTCCAGTCTGTCTGTCTTTCTGTCTGTGACACACACACAGTTGCCAGTTATGTGCAGTAGTCATGGCTACTGAAATGATGTCTAAGTATTGTAGCTGAGTTTTGGACATGATTCAAAACCTTATTCCCCACCTTTTAGGCATGTTTGGAAGCCTGCAGAGCACCCATGAAGTTAGTCACTTTTTCGTTTATTGGGTCATTCCATTGTGAAGTCATCCAGATAGGTCGCTCAACCATTTTTAAAAAATTATATATTTTGTACACTTATTTCTACATATTTCCATACTTCAAAAATAGTTTTAAAATATAATGAGAGAAAACCCGTTTTCGTCTGAAATGGAGGTTTGCGGCTTGAAATTTTTTTTTTTAAGAATAATTTTGAAGTATGGAAATATGTAGAAATAAGTATACAAAATATAATTTTTTTTTAAAAATGGTCAAGCGATCTATCTGGATGCCTTCAAATGAAATGACCCTGTTAATTTCATGTTTATGTTGCTACACCATATAACTGTTGTCAGGATGTGGTACTTTTTCATGTAGGATTCTGTTGCATATACCGAAGACAAATCTAAATTGTCCCTCTGCTTAAACTGATAATGACTATTTGCATGTTCAGCATGGCTCCTGCATTCAGTCTTCTGTGCTGAGGTTACAGTAGCCGAAATGTGATGCTGATAACTGGGAGATATAGAAGCTTCATCTCTGGGTACCTGCCCCATACACTTCATGGTGTGTTCTTAGGCAGTTTAGTTTAGCAGCAACTTTACCTTTACTGCACATAACACATTAATCTGAGTTTGTGATATCGTTTGTTACAGGTTCAGGAAAATCTTACACCATGATGGGCGGTCAAGATAACAAGGGCATTATTCCTCGGCTATGTGACTCCCTCTTTGACCTGATAGCTAAGCAGCAGAGTTTGGAGCTCACCTACAAAGTGGAAGTCAGTTATATGGAAATATATAATGAAAAGGTAAAACTTGATTCAGAATTGTCCTTAGTTGTTTTTACAGCATCAGAATGGACTGATGTGTTGCCGTGTTGTGTAGTGTGTGAGGACTTAGTAAAAATCTGTTTTCAAAATGTCAGATCACTTGGGAAGACCTCTTTGCATTTGTAGCCGTCACACATGGTCACGCAATGCCGAGGTTTCCCATTTTTAACACACATTCCTTCTTTCTGCATGTGTCAAAAAAATACGTTTTTGATAAGTATGTAAATTTAGTGAACATGTATGAGATTTGAGGTTTCCATGGCCATTAAAATTAAATTGCAATCTTCTGGGTTGTGACATAGGCAGTTTCATCGCTGATATCTCATATTACATATAGTATTTGCAACATACGTTTTCTGTGATTGCAAAGAAGCACTACTTTAAGCTGGGTAGTAGAGGCTCTCTTGTCAGCTTAATGCAGTAGGCTTTGAAGTTCCTAATTTTGTGTATGCTTTTAGGAGAACTTATTTTGCTGATTAAAGTGAGAATTCTTCAGTGTCTTGTATGTTTCCACTTTTAGGTGCACGATTTACTGGACCCCAAAACAAACAAGCAGTCGCTGAAGGTACGAGAACACAATGTGCTAGGCCCTTATGTAGATGGACTGTCACAGCTGGCTGTTACATCATTTCAGGTATAACTCAATGTTGTATTCTCAAGAACAATAAGCTGCAATATGATGGTTTGTGTCTAGTAAGAGGTATGTGATTTTGACTGTACAGGCATGCAGAAATGGAAAACAAAAAAATTGAAGTCCCCCTACCCCCTTTAAGTGTTGGAATATTAAAAAATGGAGGTTATATTCAGATATTGGATGAATTTGGGAGAACTGATTGAAGCTGGAGGCAGAAAAATTACAATGTGAGCTTCATTTATATATATTCTTTGGGATGAGAAAGAATTTAAACAACAGTGGGAGGAATCTGTTAGTGTATCTGTTTGTAAGTAAGGCAGTACAACTGCTAGTAATAATTATCACTTGTAAATTACATACAAAAGTTTATCCATGGTTTTACCTCGCCATAACTCAAGTGGTTAGTCGCTGGCTTCCCACCGCGGTGGCCCGGGCTTGATCCCGGGTCTGGTGAAGTGGGATTTGTGGTGGACAAAGTGGCACTGGGGCAGGTTTTCTCTGAGTACTTCGGTTTCCCATGCCAATCTTCATTCCACCAATTGTTCCACAATCACCCTCCCCTGTCATCTGCGGCTGACACACTACTCCAGAAGTGGCCGCAGTACAAGGGACTTATTCTCACTCCACTAGCAATAAAAAAACTAATTATCATGGTTCTCCTGAGATTAAATTATTGGCATGTGTCAGTGTGAATTTTGTTGTAAACAACCACAGGTGTACTTTATTGGATATTCTGCGTTTATGAGATGCTGGAAAAAAAATGGGAGTGCATTAGGACAGTACATTTGCTATTATGGACTTCATGTGAGCCTCTGACTCATCCTGAAGAGAGAAATATTGTAAAACATTCTCACTGAATTCAATATATCCATGGAATTAGTTAGGCTTTTTAACGCGTGTTTAAATTAAACTTATGCTAAAGGTTATATAGATAAACATTTGTCACATGCACTTCTATTCCTCCATAAACATGCATCATATTATCGCATTGTGCACTATTTGCGTGATATTTACGAGAGATATATTAATAATATCATCTTATCTTTGTTACTCAGGATATTGACAACCTGATGGCCGAAGGCAATAAGTCCAGAACTGTGGCAGCGACCAACATGAACAGCGAATCGTCACGGTCTCATGCAGTATTTTCAGTTGTGCTGACACAGACTTTGACAGATACGAAGTCAGGTGTTTCAGGAGAGAAAGTGAGTCGTATGTCTCTTGTTGATCTTGCTGGAAGCGAACGAGCCGTCAAGACAGGTGCTGTTGGAGACAGGCTCAAAGAGGGCTCAAATATTAACAAGTGAGTGTGTTAGAAACAGATGTGTCTTTTACTTTGAGTAAAAAAACTGATAGATGTCATTGGGGTGTGCGGATGCGTGGAGATATTGACCTCAGCTTGACACTCCAGGCATTCTTTCTGTCAGAGAAGAGCCTACTTTTATTTAATGGATAAGGCTCAGACTTTGTTGAGGTGATAAAGATAAAAATTCCTGCCACTACTGGAAACTGAGCCCTGGTTGTCTCCTCAGCCACTCAGTTTACTGACAAGCTTTCTTGACTCATCTAAGTGTAAAAGAACCACAAGCCTTGGTAATTTACAAGACAAATAGGCAGCAAAATTTCACCATATTAGTCACCTCATCCATTATAGCTTCTGCACACCCCATATCGTAGATTACTGCAGGTTTCATGGCTTTCGCCAGTCGCTACTGGACTATGCCAGGATGGTACCTGGATTTGGTCATAGCTCCTTCCTTCCTGATTCCTTTCAATTCATCATTCATCAGTTGTTATATGTTGTATAATCTGACATACTGATGGTGCTATGAAGTAACTAACAAAAGGCTTTTGTATCAGGAATGGCAAAACTTTTAAAGCCGCATGCCAAAACTGAAGTTCTGCTTCCATGAACATGATTTCCATTCTTATCCACACATACTCAGATATTTATTTGTGGTCGCTGTAAGGAAAAATGTGAGTGGGGTATGCACATTCTTATGTAGGATGACCCAGAAGCAATTGTGCCATCTTTTGTGAAATTAATGATGTTTACTGACACAATTACACTTTTACACTATTACAATTTCTCCATTTACATTCATTTTATGGTATTGATGAATTTTTTGATTACACAGTTAAGAAGATTGATAATTGATTTTATTGGGATTAAATACTTAATTAATGAAAAGTTAAATTACAAGTTTTATAATTTTAAAATTATGTTTACATAAATATTTTAACATGTATTATATTTTTTGTAATTATTATATTTAATTGTTATATTGGACTATTGTCTATATCCTGAGTCTTACGAACTTGTAAAGGATTTTTGACATGTAAATAAATGAAATGAAAAAACAATAATTACTGCTTGCATTCCATGATATTTATTTGTTAAGCAGAAATTTGTTAAATGGAAATGAACTTTTCACAAATTTAAGGGCAGCAGTTTACAAATGCATGAACTTGAGACAGTACATATATGTGTATATATCTATATAAGGGGGGAGGGGCACGCGATAGCATAGTCGGTTGAGGCACTATGCTACAAGCTGGAAGGGTGTGGGTTTGATTCCCAATGAGGTCATTGGATTTTTTCAATTGACCTAATCCTTCCAGCCACTCTATGGCCCTGGGGTCGACTCAGCCTCTAACAGAAATGAGTACCAGGAATCTTCCTGGGAGTAAAGGCCGACCGGTACATAAGGCTGTCAACCTTACCGCAATCTGTGAGCCGTTTGTCTAGAAGATATGGGAGCCTTGACTTCTCGTAACCCTATGGGCCTCCACAGCCAGTTAACAGGGATAGCTTTTACATGTATATATAAGGAATAGTAATAGCAAGGGTCTTCTTCTTATATTGGGGTGATTAGCGGATTTTCTTTTTAACAAAATCAAGGAAGGAATCATATTTGAGTACCATGAAATAGGCATCAAAGTATTTTTATTTATCTAGGGACAAATTTTCCAAAATGGATTTTCACCCAGTCCGGTATATTTTGACTTATGAGATAATTGCTTTACCAAGAGTGTTTTGTGACTTGAAGTTCTTGTTATCCCCTTAGTTTCAATGCCTACAATTTTTATTGACATATCTGTAATGCACTGAACTGTTATACCGTTCATTTTGGACATTTGTTCATGGAGCAGGATTGAAATCTTTGATCTTGGTGTTCAGGCAGTCCTCCTGGCGTGAAAGAGAACTGAATATTTCACACACCTAAAGTAATATGGTGATGACTGAAAAGAATGAAAAAGTTAAAAAAGTTAAACAAATCAAATTAACTGAAAAGAAGTTTAAAAACTCTTTTATGTTTCTGTTTGAAAGTTTATTTTATTGCAGTGTAATAAGTTGACAGCTATAATTGCTCTCATTTCCTCAGTGTATCAGTTACATCCTTGGTAATGTATCTGATACAAAACTTCAATGTCCTGCCTTGTAATATTATAATTTTTTGAATTGCATTGTGTGTAACAGAAGAGGAAGTCTGCTAATTCTGTGCCTTCATGCAGGTCCTTAACCACACTTGGCCTTGTCATATCGAAGTTGGCTGATCAGTCATCAGGTGGAAAGAATAAGGACAAATTTGTACCATACCGAGACTCTGTACTTACTTGGCTTCTCAAGGTAAGCACATCGTACTTTACCACCAGAAATTTTAACGTGTTCATTGCGTATAGTGCAAAAATATATTTTATCTGTGCTTTAATTAATGACTGTTGTTGAGAGATAAGATTATATAATGAATTGGAAAGGATGTAGAAGGAAACTATTGTGACTTGATTTGAGGTACAATCCTAGTATTTGCCTGGAGAGACAGGAATACCATGAAAACCCTCATCCTTGATAGTCAGTGTACCAACATTCGAACCATCACCTCCAGAATTGTAGTTAGAATCATTACCACTTGAGCCAGCATGCTAGGTTAGAGTGCATATGTGTCCACATGTTTGATCTGCAGACATACATAATGGGTTTTGACGAAACATCGTACTGGGAGTTTACTGTAGAAGTTACAGAGTGGATGTGATTTCATGCTCCGTCTCTGCAATATAACTCTGCTTTAATCATACCTGAAATGAAGTAGCTTNTACTGTCAACGTGTATACTACTGAAGACAGAGTGAACTGATTTGCGCATAGGGTTATAAGTAGTGAAACCCCGCAACAGTGTTAACAGATTAATGCGATTAGGGTTATAAAGTGTGAAACCCCGCAACTGTGTGATAATTAATTGTAGCCGATAGTTGTAGATTGTTGAATAAACCAATTAACGATCTCAACGGCGTCTTCAGTAAGGCAAACACGTTACAGTATTTTACATTTTTACTTCCTCCTTCAGGCCATTAATGGGCCAGAGTGGCCTGACTGAAGTATAAATGCCTTTCCAACTGAAAGAGAAACATTTCATTTTTATCCATTGATTAATAATGCACTTTCCTGGTCTTTACATGTAAAATTGTTGAGACATGTGTGTATGTATATGTCAGTAACTTGTAATCTGATGACCGCCTCTGTGGTCTAGTGGTCAGAGTTCCTGGCTACAGATCCTGAGGCCCCGGGTTCGATTCCCGGCGCTTTCTGAGAAGTAGTCAGTCTGGAATGGGGTCCACTCAGCCTCGTGAGGATAATTGAGGAGCTGCTTGGATGGAAAAATAGCAGCTCCAGTCTAGAAACCCAAGATTAATATCCATGGAACTCTGTTGCACTGACCACGCGACACTCTCTGTCCGCAAAACGTTGCCACTAACTTCGCCGACAAGTAGCAGTTGCTCGGCCAGTATAGTTTGTTTGCAAACTGAAAGCCACAGAGTTTGCTTTTTATATCCATATATATATAATCTGACATAATATCTACATGACACTATACAACGATCTGAAATCTGGTACACGGTGTTAAATCTTCAGATTCCGGAGAAGGTGAGGAATATTTTGAATAGCAGAGCAAATACTGGCTTCTGAAGGATGTCCATTTATTTAGTTGAGGGCGGCATTAGTTAAGTCCTGAAGGGTGCAGTCTTCTGGGTTGTAACTCCATGTGGTTCAGAGAAAGCTCAGTGTTAGGAGCAACATACCGTCTGCCATAATCAGAGTAAATGACTAAGCTAAGCATGAAACCAGCACAAAGAAACAGGAAGCACAGCTGAATATCTAAATATATGTGCAAGGATATTCCTTCCTATTTGTATTTTTAATTTTCACACCATGCACATGTCTGATTGTTAGATTTGTGTTATTAAGGATAACCTTGGAGGCAACAGCAAGACTGTGATGGTAGCAACAATTTCTCCTGCCGCAGACAACTATGAAGAAACTTTATCCACATTACGGTATGCAGACAGAGCCAAACGTATTGTCAACCACGCAGTTGTTAATGAAGATCCGAACGCAAGAATTATCAGAGAATTGAGACAAGAAGTTGAAGCTCTGAAAGAGATGCTTAAAAATGCGACAGCGTCCGAAGGTTNTTGTACGTCCCCCTTTGATATTCTACCAGTCGCCATACCCTGCCGGTACTGGTGCTCGCTATCAGCCCCGTTCAGCCAGCGGTACCCGATACTTCCCCATCTACCGGAGGCATTGGAAACTACTTGGGAGGGAAACTTTTTGCCTAATTTTGCTCAGAACTCTCCTAGAGACATGAGGATCTTTTACGTGCTGTAAATCTACGACACGGGACCCACGGCTTAAAGTCCCTCCTGGAGGACTTGCTCCCTGAATTTTTCTGCCCTTAAAAATTCCACGACCTCCGCCAGGTTTGAACCCGCGTACCTTGAGTCATGAGGTGGGAACGTTACCCCTAGACTACAGAGGTCGCTTAGTGCTCTAGGTTACTTTAGCTTGTTTGTGTGCATCTTCTTCTATCGACTTTTCCCACTTTTGTGAGAATTTGCTATCAGCCGAGGCTCTCCATCATTTTCTATCTTACCATAGCTTGTCTTCAATTTTCTCCCATGTTTTCCTTTCATTCTGTATGGTATCTTTTCTAACATATTCCCATCACAGTGGCCTGGGACAAAGATATCATGATGGGAATCACTGTGGTAATGCAGAATCCAGTGGCAAGAGTAACACAGACCCAAGGAAACATGAAAGGTACTGGCACATGTTAGTGACTGTATATGGGGTTTGGATTGGTAATTGGATTTATTGAACATGTATAACTTGTAACTACAAGTAACTCTAACAGCCTCACTGATTTACACACTTTACAGATCACTACAGCATACACTAAGTCTCAGTCTGATGTAGTCTTCACTGGTCATTGCTTGGTAACTGCTCCCAATAATGGAGATTCTTCCGCTTCTGTACTCACATCCTTGCTGGATAGCAACTGGCTCACTGGCTTGTTATATAACCTTGAAATGGACAGCACAGAAAAAACTGCCTCCAGCAGCTTCTGTATTGTTGTGTGACTTGTCAAGAGGGGCGGTTACCTAGCGATGGCCCGCATATTTGTTGAAGCAGGCTCATGTTCAGCAGTTCTTGCCTAGTGCTGGACAACTTCTCTTGTTAAGCTATTCCGTTATGCCATGGTATAAAAGATAACCTAACATAACAAAAATAAAGAGCATAAAATGTAACATTATGCCAGCTTGGCCATATGTTTTACCCCCAGGACCAGTAGATTTTCCTTGCATAATTGAGCAGTGTGTAATATTGGGCAAATTTGACGATGTGTTGCAGCAACGGGTGGATCTTACGGAGAAGCTTAGTGAGAGTGAGAAGCTCATGAAAGAGATGTCGCAGACCTGGGAGGAGAAGCTCGAGAAAACAGGTGAGTTGCTTGACGTGAGTGAAGAGTTACTACACTCACCAGTAGCTCAGCCAGTATAGTAACTGTGCTACAGGTTAGATAACTTGGATTCAGTTGATATTAGGGGCAGGAATTTTCCTCTTTGTCAGTGTGTCTGCACCAACTCCGGAGACGACTGACCCTCCAGTATGGACTGGGGACTCTTTCCAAGGGGATAGAGTGGCTGAGATGTGAATTAGACTGCTCATCTCTGTCAAATGCTGACTTTAAGAATATGAAGAACTATGCATTCACTCCCTCGTCTCTCTTTGTGGCATGATGCTTATATAAGTAAGAACAGAGACTACTTTACTGTAGAACAGGATTTCTTTTTTATTGCTAGTGGGGTGGGACTAAGTCCCTTGCACTGCGGCCACTTCTGGCCTATTGTACCAGCCCCAGATGATAGGTGAGGGTGATTGAGGAGCAGTTGGTGGAATGAAGATTGGCAGGGGAAACCGAAGTACTCTGAGAAAACCTGCCCCAGCGCCACTTTGTCCACCACAAATCCCACTTGATCAGACCCGAGATCGAACCCAGGCCGACGTGGTGGGAAGCCAGCGACTAACCGCTTGAGCTATGGCGCAGCCTTAGAACAGGGTTGGTCAAATTACAGCTGATGCATAATTCAGTCTAACCCATGTCACTTGTAAAATATTGTAACGCGTTTAATTACTGAAGATGCAGCTATACATGCATTGAAGGTTACATCATGACAGATCAGTGGTGTCTTCTCAAGTGATTGTCCATATCACTGTGGGGACATTATCCATCACATTGGAGACTGTCTCCCATATCAGCTGCATTCCAACGTTTACTTCTGTGTGTAGCATGCAATTGAAAAAGAAAAATGTGTAACATTTCATTTATTTTGCATATTTCAATGCTACAATTAAACTTTCACTCCTAGTAGCAGACCATAATAAAATTAAAGAGAGACTACCCCTTGAAGTAAGATATTATAGTTCGTTTGAAGTGGAGGATCATTGAACGGCTAAACAGAGACGGCTGCACAGTAGGTAGCTTTGGTCGCGGTGCAAGGACCAGTCAAGGCCTATTCCTTATTCATTCATTCAATACCTTGTACATTAATAAAAGGGCAAAGGAACCAGATGTACTCTGATAGCAGCCTCATCAGATGTGTGTAACACTGGAGGGATGGATGTGACGTTGTGTTGCTTGTGCAGAACGGCTGCAGCACGAGAGACAGCAGGCGCTTGAGAAGATGGGAATCAGCGTGCAGGCGTCCGGCATAAAAGTGGAGAAGAACAAGTATTATCTGGTTAACCTCAATGCTGATCCCTCTCTCAATGAACTACTAGTGTACTATCTTAAGGTACGTAACATAGTTCTCATATTGTATATTCTGCAGTTGAATAGTACACAGAAGTCTGCCATTTTGTTCTCAAAGATGATAACTTCAGCTGCAGAGCAATCAGAATCACAGTTTTGGTTTTGGAACAGTTTCTATCAGTTCATTCACTTGTTCAGTGATGAAACAGTTGTTAAATATATGCACAGTATGTGTAGGAGATAAATGTATTTTGTTTGTTCAGTTTTGTTATTGTAATAATTGGTGTTTCTGATATTCATTGATAATACTGTCTTCCTTTTTATACAGTTAATCAGTACAGTCTAGACTCTGAAAGAAGAATATTAACCAACCAACAAGAAACGTTTAATATTTCAGTCACTTCTTTGTTTCGTGTTTGTTCAGGAACGAACTTTGGTTGGCGGGCGAGAAGCACCTATGGAACAGGATATTCAGCTCTCTGGGCTTGGAATTCAGCCAGAACATTGTGTTGTAACTATAGAGGATGGCGGACTGTTCATGGAGCCCCTCTCAAATGCTCGGTCATACGTTAACGGTCTGCCCGTGACCGAGAGGATTCCGCTGCATCATGGAGACAGGATAATGTGGGGAAATCATCACTTCTTCAGAGTCAATTGTCCCAAATCAGCAGGTAGCACAATATATCAGAATAGCCACTGAACTGTTAGTGTTTGTGTAGCTGGTAATGAACCTCTTCCATATGGAGACACACACTAAGGAATAGTTAAGATGTAAGAACAAACTCAGTCATGATTTATTTTGTGTGAAATAAGTGCACACATTTGCATGTGTGTATAGACTGTGATCATATTATTCACCGTACTTTGTTCTGTTTTCCTTTGTACATATATCATTTTATCTTTCCTGGGGCATGAGGGGGTTGTAAAGTGGCTTGGGCATGAAGCTGACCAATCACCCCATCTAGTTCTGAGGTCAAGAATGATGGAGCTACGTCTCTACTCCCCTATGCATCTTTATGGTGTGGTGCTTAATTGGTTAATCACAGGGATAACTTTACCTTTTTTATGTTTTTTATTTTTTTTTCCCCCCCTTGGCACTACAGCCCCAGTGGGCCTAGGCCTACCTCCATGAACTTCTCCGTTCACTTCGGTTTTTCGAGATCTTACACATTCGCTAGGACTCCTTGGGCAGGTGATCAGCTCGTTGCAAGGCTTCTGCACACGCACAAACTAAACATCCATGTCCTGAGTGGGATTCGAACCCAACATCCTGGTTTCCGAGCAAGCGAAGACAGTGCATGCCTTAGACCACTCAGCTCCCATGACCGTATTTTTGTTTCTACATGTATATCATTTTGTAATAAAACAGTTAATAGATTAACAGTATTTTAGGAATAAGTAGTACAAGTGAGTGTCAAAATATTAAGCCAAAAAAATCCATATTTGCATGCCAGTGAGTTAATTAAGTGTGATTGGACAGAACATCACTTCTAGTACTACACTTTATGTACTGTTCTTAAATGTGAGGAAAACAGATGGACACAAAATAGCTGTAGATACCAAATACACCAACCAATCATGTCTTGGGGCCCAAATATTTTCCAAAACCTATCTTTCTATATGCACTGCCAATATGGATTCTTTCTGCAGACTGAGAGACCACATTTCAGAATAGTCAGTTCTGTATTAGTTCTAGTATATTGTCTTATTAATCTTCTCTCTCTCCCCATTCTTTCTCCTTCTCCTTCATTTCCCCTTTTATGTGGGACGTCTTAACGACCGGGCCTCCCCATCTGCATTGGAATCTCCATTTATTTTTCTTCAACATAAATTTTTCCCTCATGTAACACCCAATTTCAGTATCCCAAATAAGTAATCTCGGTGTGTTCAATTTCTGCCATTTAACAATTGCATCAGTTTCAAGTTCTCAGTCATTACTGTCCAAGAAAAGCTTAAATGGGGATTTCCCTGTCTTCTCAAAGATCCTTGTTGTCCTCAGTTAGTCTTCATGCTCTTCCTTCCCTTCTTGACATTGGTCTTCCTCTTAGACCTTTTCCTTTCAGTTTCATATGTAGAACCTTCCTAGGGGTTCTGTCTTTTTTCAGTCTTAAAATGTATCTGTACTTTCCTATTCTCATATTAATTTATCTTAAAAGATAATTTAGCTTTAAATTCTGTCTCTACTTTTTGATTTCCTTTTCTCCTTCATGTGGGGTTTTCATCTGTTTTCTTTGAAAAGTTCATTTTTTGCTGATGTCATATTAATATTACACTTAATTTTGTGACAGCGATGGCATCTGAACCACAGACTCCAGCACAGACGATTGATTATAACTTTGCTCGTGAGGAGCTGATGCTAAATGAACTGAGTAACGACCCAATACAGACAGCGATTGCTCGACTTGAGAAACAGCATGAGGAAGACAAGCAAGGTATGTCATGAGTTGAACTGTTGTTGGTTGAGTGGAAGTTACATAAATGCTCAGCCATTAACTTAATTGAAAATAAATTAGTGTAATACATGTTGAGAACTGAACAGAAAGCCTCACCGTTTGGTGTGTAAGTTTTTTTACCGTTAACCTCTCATGCTTTGCCCATATTTCTTTCTAGTCCTTCATGTTAGCAAGTGATTAATTGAAGCTGAAATGAAATGCCATCTCCCACAAATAACCTGCATAAGTAGTCTACACCTTCGTGTAGTATTACTGCACCTCACACAATCCATGTCAAAATATTATCAGTACAGAATAGATGTGATAAACTGAAACAGAACACTGCCTGTGGATTTTTCTACCCTGAAGATGGAGACGATACATTCCTCCGAATCATCGGTTTACACTAGATCTACATGGAGCCACGTCCCAGAAGATGGCATTCTTATTAGTCACCTCTGTGAAAACCTCAAATCGTAAACAGAGTAATTTATCCACACAAGCCCAGGATCCCCTCACAAAATATGATGTGGGAATCACTCTGATTGTCTTTCTTATGTGTATGTAAATCGTATTTGCTGTTCTAGCACAGAGATTGCAGAGCAGTGTAGATATACATATTTATATAAGTTCACTGTGTTGACAGTTGCACTAGAGAAACAGCGCCAGGAATATGAGCGGCAGTTCCAGCAGCTGCGCAATATTCTGTCACCTTCCACACCGTACTCGCCCTATGTACCATTTGATCCATTTCGACTGGGAAAGATCACGCCTTGTACCCCTACCACGCAGATGAGAGTGGAGAAATGGGCTCAGGAGAGGTGGGTGGATTACCGCAAGAAGCATACATTTTGTTTCGCTCTATATATTTAATTGCTAGAAATGTTGAGCAGATCAGATCATTTGCGGTTTAAAGGAATAAGGTAATTTTTTGAAAATTGGAAGAATTTTCAGTTGGGCTGTTTGGATTTTGCTGTAATTGCAAATGTATTTGCTTTTCAGAGATGAGATGTTTAAGAGGAGTTTGGGTCAGTTGAAAGCTGATATTCTTCGAGCAAATGCTTTAGTAAAGGAGGCGAACTTTCTGGCTGAAGAAATGGGAAGACAGACAACATTCAGTGTGACACTTCAGATACCTCCTGCTAACCTGAGTCCCAATCGCAAAGTGAGTGTTGAAAGATTTTTGATCTGGAGCCATGTACTTTATGTAATGCCTTGAAAGCTAGGTCCCATCAGTTAGTTGCTAGCTAAAGAGTGGCAGCTTAGTGTAGGGTTCTCACTCATGGAGCTCAGCACTTCCTGAGAAGCTGCCAATTGTTCAGATACTGAAGAACTTCCCAGCATTTTATAGAACCCGAAGGTTCATTATCATGTTCACAAGAGCCCTCCACTGGTCCCTATCCTGAGAGATCAATCCAATCCATACCATCCCATCCTATCACTCTAAGATCCGTTTTAATATTACCCACCCACTTTCTTTTTTTATAGCTAGTGGGGTGGGAGTAAGTCCCTTGTACCGCGGCCACTTCTGGCCTGTTGTACCAGCCTCAGATGATAGGTGAGGGTGATTGTGGAGCAATTGGTGGAATGAAGATTGGCAGGGGAAACCGAAGTACTCGGAGAAAACCTGCCCCAGTGCCACTTTGTCCAACACAAATCCCACTTGACCAGACCCGGGATCGAACCCAGGCCGCCCGGTGGGAAGCCAGCGACTAACCACTTGAGCTATGATGTGGCCACTCACCCACTTACATCATGGTCTTCTTAGTGGTCTCTTTCCTTCTGGCTTTCCCACCAATATCCTATATGCATTCCCCTTCACCCCCGTTCTTGTTACATGCCCTGACCATCTCATCATCCTTGACTTGATCAATAATTATGATAATTTTTGTATTTCAGCGTGGAGCATTTGTGAGCGAACCTGCAATACTGGTGAAACGTAAAGGTCAGGCGAGTCAGGTGTGGTCCATGGAGAAGCTGGAGAACAAGCTGATAGACATGCGCGATCTGTACGAGGAGAACAAAGAGAGGGATCTCTCTCTGAAGGTGAGAGCTGTTGTGCAAAAGTGCTACATGTAACACCTGAGTTCTAGTTTCTCACCTCACACAAAATTCTTGTGGCACCCAGTAGGATAAAGCAAGATACTGAACAGGTTAGTCTAGTAGTACTGCCATAGACTGGGAGGTGCTGCATTTCAAGCCTCTCCTGGGACACTTGCTATCTTCATCTGTGGTTTTTGTAACTTTTCTCAGTGCTTTTAGAAAGATGATAGGATAGTAAATCATTTAGGCCATGGCTGCTTTTTCATGTCTTTTCACATTCATCAGCTGTCCTGCCATTTGGTGCCGTATCGTGTTGCAATTGAAGCATTTTAAAATAACCCACTAACATGCAGTTATATTTTAAATGTTTGTAGGCTTTCTTCCAACCACTGTGCAATGCTGTTTGAAAATCATGTGACACAGAAATTTAATCTTCATTGTAAATAAAATTAATGCCAAACGTATACCTTGTAGCATGCGTGTAACACAGATGTATATTCAAATACAGTGCACCAAAATACTCATTTCTTTCTTTCTTTCTCTGTGGCTCTACAGTGCTTTGTTGGACCCTGTCCAATTTTTCAGTTTCTTAATCATTTTACAGTTGGTAAGACTCCTTGGATAAGGGATCAGCCCATCACAAGGCTCCTACCTGTACACAGGACAGCACAAACACAATAGACGCACAGAGACATGCCTCAAGTGGGATTCAAACCCTTAACCCCAATGTTCAAGTGGGTGAAGACAATTCGTACCTCGGTCTGCACAGCCACTGTGATTGGCTCCAGAAAAACTCATATATATCATATTAAAACAATGCAATGAATAAATATCCTATTTTGTCATATTCATTGCTAAATAATCAGTAGTTGTTACACCATCAGGTGAATGAATAATTTGTGTTGTGGCTTTCTGGTTTATGACACCATCTAGTCTGGTGGAGGGTACCATGTTTCAGAGGAAAATATTGTCTCTCTGTATTGAATATAACAGCAGTGCAGTGAATTCACAGGTATCAAGTAGTAACGTATGGGCGAAGTAGCACAGGTAATTAGAAGTACTGGATAATGTGAATATCTTTAAATACCCAATATCCACGCTGCATTCGGCCCTGAAAGTTATTTACTGGTCCTGCTGCTGCTCACTAAACAGTGAGACAGGTATCTTTCCATCAGAGGGAAACAGCAGTTGTTCAGTGGTAATGGAATGAAAGAGCTGCGACAGTTGAGATGTGCAGTGTACTATGAATCACTGTAAAGCATTACTGAAACATGCGTACCATAAATCATTACAGGAAGTCCAGAATCAAGGTTCAGGGGGTTCTGAAATCCCTGCAGTTAATCTTCTAAATGAGTAATCTGCACATGGATGATCAACATGTGTGTATGATTTGAGGTTTTCACAGCAGTGACTCTGAAGAATGCTGTCTTCTGGGATGTGGTTCCATGTAGATATTGTGTAAACCGACATTTTGGAAGAAATATCGCCTCCATCTTCAGGGTAGAAAAGTCCACAAGCAAGGAACCAGCATGAGCAGGTGGCTGCAGGCTGAGTCAGCAGTCTTATAGCTGGGTGTTTTCGACTGGTGACTCAGTCTGCAGCCATCTGCTCATGCTGGTTCCTCGCTTGTGGATTTCTCTACCCTAAAGATGGAGGCGGTATGTTCCTCTGAAACGTAGGTTTACACAATATATACACAGCGCCACATCCCAGAAGACAGAATTCTTCAACATTAAATATGTTCCTCCAAAATGTTTTTACCCACCCACCAGACTGAGTGCCGCAACTCAGAATATCACAGGACATGAAAATGTGAAAGCTTAATGTTACTTTTGTGTGTTTGCAGGATGAAATCCCTCAGAAAGGCATAGATCCATTCTACGAATCTCAGGAAAACCACAATCTCATTGGTGTTGCGAATGTTTTCCTTGAAGTTCTTTTTCATGATGTGCGGCTTGATTACCACACCCCCATCATCAGCCAGCAGGGAGAGGTGGCTGGCAGGCTGCAGGTGAGGAATATCTGTTGTGCTTTAGTCACAACTCTGATTTTATTTACTTTAATTCCGACGAAGGAATCAAGGCTTGGCAGAGGCAAAACATTTCTCTCTTCTTCATGGCACCCAGACTGAATCTGGGACCCTACCAGCCTTGTGTACAACGAACTTAGGGTGTATATCACAGGGAGAAAAGTGACTGGGGTGTGAAGCTAGCTGCTCATCACCATGTTATCTGAACTTATGAATGTGTGGAGTTTTGCCACTCCTGCATACATCATCATGGCCATGTAAAAATATATTGCAGTTTGTAGTACCGTTGCTATGCAGTGATTGTGAGAAGGAACATGAGTTGCTTAGTAATGGCCAGTAAACATGTCAATGATATCCAAGCTGTCACTAGGCAACTGCTCATAACAATAATAAAAGAAAACTGTGAGGCAGTGTTTTCTGTTGGGTCCACCCCACGGCTGTATAACAGGAACACCAGGCCGACAATTGAATTGAGAGTTGAGTTGTGGGATGTTCACCAGACAGGAAGGACCTGAGCACCAGAAGCTGAAGAGTCTCCACTGTTAACATTCGTTACCAGGTAACGGCTGTTAAAGACACTGCAGGCTGGAGAAGACTCAGCAGTGATTCATAAATTATACAAATTAGCGTAATGTTGCTGTAATTACTTGTAGTTCTGAGTGGTGTGTATAAGTGGTCAATAAATCTATTCACCAATCCATACCTTGTCAATACACATGACAGTACTTAAAGAGACAAGTGATTCGAGCAATCTGGTCTAGCCAGATAGTGACAAACATAAAAAAAAAAGAGAGAAGAACTGGCAATATATAAAAACTAAGTTTTGAGGGTTTCTGGAAATTATTCTAGAGGGAGACAGATTTAAATGAATAAGTTATGTTGTGGCTACACTTTGAAATTGGATATATGCACAAAATGAATTTTGCTACATATGATCTGTCTTTCCCAGGTGGAGCTCAGTCGAGTGGCAGGCAGCTTTCCACAGGACAGGATGTGTGAGGCTGCTTCAGAGAGTTCTGGAGACAGTGGGCGAGAAGACGAAGAATCACCACAAGGAACGAGTCAAGTTACAGTTCGGGTTTGTATGAGTGTTCTTCCATATTGCATTACGCTAAAGTAACCTCCTAATTACTCATGCTTGGGCTCAAACTCTTGCTCTGAATTCTGTGCCCTCATAAATGGGGACAGTTTCATGAGCCTCACCCAAGCAGTGCGATCACATGGAGCCCTGAGCTTGGAACACTTATCTTGGGGAGAGAGAGGCATACAGGGCACTTTGACCACAGTGAACTAGGAGTCTGCAGAGCTAACAGTATTCGCCTTGAGCATCTGCAGCGTGAGCCTATTCCCGAGCTCAAGCACAATTAGTCTCCATAGACCACTTATACTTGAGCTTGGATATGTGCTGTATGCTGTAGCTTCATTACATTTACTGTAAACAGTAAGATTTTAAAATCTAATAACAAACTAAGGTGACTGAAAGATGAACCTTGCTACATGCAATCCAGCTAATAGGTGCGACCCCTATTTGTTATTATCTGTATAAAACAAGCAAGTTTGTCGAAGTGATTATATTTTCGACATGTATTATAAAGGTGTTTTGTTCAAATCTCAGCCAGGGCACTGACTAACTTAACAGACCGTCTTTGTAGTTTTCCTCAGTCCCTGCAGCCAAGTGCCATGATAGAGCCTAAAAAAGAGGCCACACCACTGTTTCATTCAATTTTCTTTCCAGTTTGTTGTCGTTCAGTCATTTGATGCTGTATGGTTTGATTCACTGACAGTGTCATTAAATATACTAAAAATAAATAAACTGAAACATACCTACAGTCTCTTTCTTTGAGATCTGTTTTAATATACCATCGTCTTCCCGTTAATTTACATCAGTTGTTTCCATGAACTGTCATCATTGAGTCGTTGATTAAGAAACCCAATTTTAGGACTTACTTTTTTACACTTTAAGGCCCATAATTTCAGTAATTTTACTCAGATAGTTACAAAATGTGATGGGAAACAGCAAACATTTATCAGACTGCACTACCACACCTACCAGAGTGGGTGGTTGAATTGACTGAGCTTGTTACTATTGCCAGTGCACAGACATGCGTTGGTGATCATTGATTGCTGGGGGAACACAAACGCTTGGATATTTGGACATATTGTGGGGGTGTTGATTAGCAGAGAATGTCTGTTTTATTGTCTGCTTCTTTGTCTTCTGAATGGTGACTTACCAAAGATTTCAGCAGAATTCTGTATGCATGTCATATATTGACATGCATTTAACTGATAACCCAAGGCTCTTCATAACAGACAGCATTGCACTTAGATACTGATATGTAAACACTGAAATCTGGAACAAAATCTACTAATTGGATTGCATGTTGCTTATGAAACAACACTAATGTCTGGAATAACAGTTTCTATAGTGTCAGTAAGTATTCAAGCCAGAAGATGGTTTAAATTAAATGTAATTATACCTTTCTTTCCCTTATTTAATAATCTATAATCTCATCCTATCTTGAGTCTATATAAGCTATACTGAGGCCATAGAAGGAAGTCCCATGGATGGTGAGGATGACAACGCTTGAGGCTTCCTATTCCCTGTAAACTGTTACTCTGTTTCCGTCCAGCCCCATGTGGTCATAGTCATCTAGCCCAAGATGCTCGTCACTAGCAAAGGTGATGCACATAATCACCATAACATTTGTCTGAATGGCATGGCTAGACCACTGGAGACAAGTACAGGGGAGTAGGCTGGAGAGGGAAACGTAGCAGCCCCAGGGAAATTTGGATAGGGTTGATCTATGCAACTTCATTCCTTGGCCTCAGTAAATGCTGTTGAAAGTATGGCATTAAGCAAATCAACACGCACAATAGATCACAGTGCAGTGAAGTTCATTTGATTTGTGTTTTTCACAGGTAACAATTAAACAGGCATCAGGCCTGCCTCTATCACTCTCCAACTTTGTATTCTGTCAGTATTCATTCTGGAATCATACAGATAGCATTGCAGTGCCACCCGTGGTCGATCAGGAGTACCCAGTCACATGCTCTTCTGGACGTGACTCTGTGACCTTCAAGTTTGATCACAATCGTGATTTTGACGTTCCTGTGACAGAGGAGTTCTTGGAGCACTGTTCTGGTAAGTTTTCCTCCCCCTCACCACTTGGATGTTTCATTTCCATGTGTGTTGTTAGCAGCAAAGCCTCTTCATTTGTTTATCCTCCAAAAGCTGCCACTGTCAAGACTGTATGGCATCAGGTAGTCTGAGAATGATGGATTTGCTCATGACATATGTTCCTTCCTTCTGTGTGAGGTATCTCCCATATTGTTTCTGACCTTCCTTTAGTTTCATGTTCAAAGCCTTATTATTGGCTATATCAGTCATTCATTCTTAAAATATGCCTGTAGAATCTTATTCTGTTATAATTTGTTTACCAAGATAAATTCTCCCTAATTTTGTTTGCAGATACTTATAAATCGTAGACATAGCTATAAATGCTGTTTGAACATCATAGATACAAATTATGAGCATTGTGATGCTGTGAAATATTCAGATTTATTTTTTAAGAAAATATATACCTCTTTGATTCTGATATTAGTCTAAATCAGTGCTGTCCAACGTTCTTATGTACTCGCGCACAATTCACTAATGCCTATGGAGGTGCGGGCACTACTACTACTACTTACTACTACTACTACTACTACTACTACTAATAATAATAATAATAATAAAAATTTTCGAAAATGTTTAACAGTACTCAGACGTTCAAAAATGTCTCTTGTCTTACAATTTGAATTAATATTAAAAATCGGCTGAATTATATGTGGTTATGGAGGGCGCCAGAAAAATATACCACGGGTGCCGCGTTGGACAGGGCTGGTCTAAATAATATCAAAAATTTTAGTTTCTACTTGGGAGGAAAACTGTCTCACCATTACAAAGACCAACCAGTTATTGCTGTATACTTAAGTAATACAAATTATCCTTAGAATTATATGATACCCATAAATACACTCACGAATGTTATGTCAGGTGCTACCTATAGCTACTGCTGTGCTTTGGAGGGCTGTTGTGTTGTGAGTCTGTACTAATGGAAATTATGCAGAGAAATGTATGGTCGAACTACACAGTTATTGTAGTCTCACCATATAAATTGGGGCATTTGGAACATTAGTATGCATTATGATGGAATTCAAGAACTCTGTTACAATATTTCAGATGTAAGACTTGAATCTTTCATGGCAAATAAATCTGAAATCTTACAGGGCAACAGTCTCATCAGTGTTGAGTTAAAACCCAGCATTTCAGAGATCTCTGTCTCCATCTTGAAGTAAGAGGAGGCATTGCTTTGACATACCGGTGTACATATCTGCGATATATGATCATTCTCTGCATTGTTCCTGATAATGGAAATGGAGAAAATCTCTGAAATGTTAGGTTTTGACTCACCGTTGACACTCCTGATCATCTGAGAAGACTTTAGCATAAATATTTAACATGTCTTTCAGTATTAAAATATTTCTGATACAACCCACAACTGGTACCAGTTGTAAGACATTTTCTTTTTTTCTTTGATATATTCTGTGTACACTAGTCATTATGCACTACATTAGTATTTATTTGCTTTCCAGAGGGAGCTCTCTCAATTGAAGTGTGGGGTCACCGCTGTGCGGGTTTTACAAAATCAAAAGAGGGGTGGGAAGTCCAGCAGCAGCTCGCTAAGGCCCGATCTCTAGCAGACAGGTGGGTATTTCATGTGTCAAGCACTTGTATCAGGAACATTGGGAATATTGATACCGAAGTCAAGAGGTCTTTGGAAGCAATTCAAAACTTCACTGAAATGTTAGTAAAACTATATCCAGCCATATATATTTGAAATTAGACAATATTTGATTAAACCAGTGGTAAAATGCCATAGTGAGACACTTCGATATTGAGTGACTGTGACAGAACAGGGATAGAGTCAGTGGAAATGCAATTGTTAAGACCCTTAGTTGTACATGTATTGGTTATACAAAAACTTGTGGGAAACCAAGGTAATATGTTTACATTTTTATTTATATATAAAGGAGAAGATAGGAGAACTAGGTTATTTCAGTCAGTATAGTGTTGGTCTAGTTTCTGGATGACTGAGGAATTTGTGTTCAATTCCCAGGAGGAGCAAAATATATTTTTCTTCTCTGCAGGATCCAGACTGGCTCTGTGGTCTAATAATGGATACTGAGTTCTCTTGCTCCCAGGTGAAAGCACCCTGGGTGTACTCTAAAATGTTGGGATCTATGTACTGAACTGTACAGTATTACATCCCCACTGACTAATCTTAACCATCACTGCTGTGGCATCATATCATGTAGTTCATTCTAAATTTCCATCCTCACACCGTATTTCAATAAGTTACATTTTAATATTATCACCTGGGCCATGTCTTTTCATTTAAGGTTTTGCAATCACATTGAGTAGCTCCTCATCATGTAATTTCGCCATTGTCTTGTTCATCTGTACAAGAATATTCTTATGCTGGATGAATTTGTTGTGCTGACAATGTTTGTGTTGTCTCCAGATGGAGTGAACTGACTCGAAAGATCCAACTGTGGGTGGAGATACAAGAGCTTAACGAGCAAGGCGAATATTCCACTGTGGAGGTGACGACAAAACCTGATATTCTGACTGGAGGAATTTATCAGTTGCGACAAGGTCAGCAGAGAAGGATCCAGGTCCGTGTAAAGCCGGTGCAGAATTCGGGAACTCTTCCCATTATATGTCAGTCCATCGTCAGTATCGCAATAGGCAGCGTGTCTATGAGGTGAGTGGAGTAGAGTCCTATGGGAACCGAAGTGAATTCTCAAAAGAGTGTGCTGCTACTTAACAGTACTTCCTGTGTGTTACGTTCATTTTATTTCAGTACTATATAAGAATTTCTTTATCTTTTCATTTTAAAGAGATGGGCTATAAACCTGTTCCGGCTTCACTCAAACGTTTATTAGATCCATCAGTGTCTTCTGACTTGTGGGCTGTAACTCAAAGTGGATTTTAATAATCTTTCTTCTGTCTCTCTCTCTCTAGGTATTGTGACTGATTATTTGTGAATTTATTTTGTCTTGTAAGATTTGAGGCTTTCACGGCGGTGACTATGAAGAAAGCAGTCTTCTGGGATTTGGCACCGTGTATATGTGGTGTTAACCGACGTTTCAGAGGAACGTATCGCCCCCATCTTCAGGGTTGAAGAAGTATAGGTAAATCTGCAAGCGACAACACCGTGAGACACGGTCAAGCAGACACGGTGCCAAATCCCAGAAGACTGCTTTCTTTATTTTGTCTTTTCTACCAGATACATTGAAATTCCTTATTTAAGATTTGTGTGGGGAGCAGTGTTTGAACACTAAACTGAGGAAAATATTGAATCAAGGAAATTTAACACTGTGATTATTGGCTTGTTATCATTGAAATGAAACGATAAATACAGGAACACCTCAGATCAAGGAGCATTAAATGGGGGTTCCGCTGATTATGATTATCTAACATGTAATATTACAAATATAATGTTTCTGGACATTATCCAGGATCCTGTTTTTATTTAAAACAACATTTCAGAGACTGGATTCTGCATCCGTCTTCAGGTAAACCCTACTCAGTTGGGCCCAATTGATCTGCACCATCACAAGATTGGCTATACAAACCAAGCACAGCATAAACCATCTGCGAGAGTTAAGACAAAACATTATTAAGAAAACTGCACACGTATGAGAGCTAGCACCGGAGTGTTATCAGGATAGGAGCCATCATGGAGAGATAAACTCTCTGTATAATACCAACATAACACATTTTTCCAGAAATATAATATTTGTATAAATATACTGTTGTCACAAACTTGTAGATAGTATTGTAATGTTTTGTTTATCTAATCTCTGTCATTATGTTGGCATGGATTGTAGGTCAAGATTACAGAAACCGCTGGATTCGTACCAGGAGGAAGATTTGGCTGTTCTGAGGGAGAAGTGGAGTGATGCATTGATGAGGCGACGGCAATACCTTGATCAGCAGATACAGAGGCTAATCAACAAACAGGGTAAGTCAGCATGCCCACAGTGTCAATATTTCTGATGCCAAAGTTTTAAAGGTGCCAAGATGGGTGATTGCCAGTGGCATGATTTTCATACTGCATTTCATTAAAAGTTGGTCAGTAAGTGTGTAGAATATAGATGTCAGTTTCCATGACATTGTCTTGTTTCTAGATTTCCAAAGAAACTGAGTTTCTTCTTCAGAGCCCTATTAGCATGCATCTTTCTGTCTCCCCTGCTGTCCCCTTTCCAGGGCTACTAGGGAGATAACCCATGTCACTTTTACTCTGAAGATGGAAGCAGAAGTTTCCTCCAAGACATTGAAAGAGTCTTCTAATCCTGTATGGCATTACTGCGTGTGAAACCCTCAAACCTTATGTGACATCGTCAAGCAGCGAATGAACAGTGCACATGCAGAGAAACTGTTCCGATGAATATTCCATCACTCATGCAAACCTATACAATTACAGTTTGGTGAAATCCCAATTTTGTATTCCTCCATTTAATTTATTTATTTATTTACTTCATGTCCATGGATCATTATACATGATATAGGACAAGTCAAATACTTTACAATAATAATAATAATAATATAATGATATAATATTATAATAATATACTAAGATAATACAATGATGATTCTAATAATAGAACTAACATAATCGTTTAACACATGACACCACTGTATGCCTCAAGACCCGATCCTTCTGTTCCGGCACAAAATACCCTGGTATCCTCAAAATGAAATCCCATGTCTAGCAAATATTTTTTTGTGATTTTAGCTGAAGTGCAATATGAAAATTATATTATTTTGTCATGTTTACTGTATCTCAGTTCAGTAATAAACTGTATCTAGTGTAGATATGTTTGCCTTCCAGAATGCATACCAAAATTTAGTACAGTTGTGGTCGAAACAACAGTTACTGTTCTCATTTTATATCTGTCAAAAATTGTTACCATGCAGCAGTAATGTTAGGCAAATGGTGTAACATATTGAACTGTGTTCAAACCTACCCTATTGCTTTGATTTTGAACTCATGTTCTTTCAGTGTTTATTTTGTATGTCATAATTATTTTAGAAATTAATTTGATATTATTGATTATGTAATTAGTCATATTTATGTGTGTATAAACAGTTTCTTTAACTACTTATCTAAATAAATTATTTTGTCATCATTATGTCTCATAAGAAGATGAACAGTTTCTTGATGTAATTTTGCAAAACCTACATTTAGTGAAAGATTTGATTTAAAGTCATTACTCCAGGCATACATTAAATAGGGATTTCACAGCATGTGATGTTCTTGTGTGAGCAGACAAAACAGAGCAAGATTCGGAGCGAGAGCAGAGCCTTGTGGATCAGTGGGTGAGCCTGACAGAGGAGCGCAATGCCGTTCTGGTACCTTCTGCTGGCTCTGGCATCCCTGGAGCGCCTGCCGACTGGGATCCTCCACCAGGAATGGAACCTCATGTACCAGTTCTGTTCCTTGATCTCAATGGTAACTGTTATTTTTCTGTCAATCTTTCTCAGCTAGTGATCATTAACTTCTCTGGCTCTGCTCCATTGAAATACGTGGGGCAATCCAAAAGTTTACAAAATTTGAATTTTGCGCACGAATGGTTATAAGTACATCGAAATACCGCTAGGTGTCTCCTCACACAGCCTTCTTGAATCAGTGTGGCAAGCAGCGTCAAGTTGAGTGGTTGGGTTTATTGTTGGTGAACGTATTTCCATTGTTGTGTTTCTGTGAGTTTGCGGTTTTGCGATGGCTGACCTGAGAGAGCAGCGTGTCTGTATAAAGTTTTGTTTCAAACTTGGGAAAACTGCTGCAGAAACGCACCAAATGTTGACGCAATTTTTTTTGTGAAAACAGTTTAGGCCAGACACAAACTTACAACTGGTATAAGCATTTTAAAAATGGCCGAACATTGACTGATGATGACGATCGTTCGGGACAGCCGTCAACGGGCAAAACACCAGAAAATGTCGCGAAAGTTAGGGATCTGATTCTGCAAGATCATAGACTGACAATCCAAGACCTCTGTAACACCTTGGGACTAAGTTATGGTACATGTCAACGAATTTTGTCAGAGGAACTGAACATGAGGATTGCGGGGAAGTTTGTGCCACGACTGCTTCAAAATGAACAGAAGCAGCATCACTTGGAAGTCTGCAGGGAACTTCAGCAACAGCTTCATGAGGATCCAAACTTCCTTTCGAAGGAAGTCACTGGTGACGAAAGTTGGGTTTATAGCTACGACTGTGAAAGCAAGCAGCAATTGTCGCAAAGGAAGAGCCCTTCTTCACCTCGGCCAAAAAAAGCTCGACAAGTCAAGAGCAACGTTAAGTCCATGTTGATCTGTTTCTTTTTGATATTGACGGGATTGTTCATAAGGAGTTCGTCCATCCTGGTCAGACAGTCAATAAAGAGGTCTATCGCAATGTTCTAAGGCGTTTGAGGGAGGACATGAGGAGAAAACGTCCAGAGAATTGGCGCACGAACAACTGGGTACTCCACCATGACAACACACGACCGCATACGGCTTACATTGTGCAGGAATTTTTGGCTAAAAACAAGATGGCATTTGTTCCCCACCCACCGTACTCGCCAGACTTAGATCCATGCGACTTCTTTCTCTTCCCCAAGATGAAAATCACGTTGAAGGGGCGAAGATTTGATACGGTTGAGGAAATTCAAGCGGAAATGCAGATGGTACTAAACACCCTAACAAAGAGAGACTTCCAGGATGCATTTGAAAAGTGGCAGAAACGCTGGGATCGGTGTATGCGCTCCCAAGGGGAATACTTTGAAGGTGATGGTGCAGAATAAGATCTAGGTAAGATGTAATAGTTTTTATTAATATATTTCGGGAACTTTTGGATTGCACAATGTAATTGGACCATATTAAATTAAATTGGACCTGCAGTAAATATTGATATTTTTCAAATTTGTTATTGTTGTACCATGTTTAAGCATTTATTTGGACAATAACTAAGACTACAGTGCCATGAACTTGATATTTCAGCCGATGACCTGTCAACTCATCAGTCCGGTGATGAAGTTTCAGTGACAGGGCTCAATTCGATCCTGCCTAAAGAGCACGGTAACAAGTTCTATAATTTGCCTATTATCAGGCATTTAGAGAAGGATGTGTGTGCTGTGGCCGCGTGGGACTCGTCGATACATGACAGTATCTACCTGAACAGGGTCACGGAAGGTCAGTATAAAATTGGTTCTAATCTTCCCACTGCTGCATTTCTTCAAGCATGAGTAAATTCCACCAGTGTTACCGCACCAAACAGCTAAATATTATGTGGCATGCACAGCACACTCCATTCTTCATTAAATCGCAGTGAAATCTTGATTACTTTCTCAACATTTAGTGAAATCCCATATTTAATAAATATTTTTTTTTCTGTTCTCAGCTGATGCCCAACATAAACAGTGTATTACTTCAATGTATTTAATGAATTTTGATTGGTAAATTATGTACTCACGTTTAGTGTAGCAATTTTCTACAGACTAGAATCCATAACACAGTCTAGTGCTGATGTGGCCAATCCATAACACAGTCTAGTGCTGATGTGGCCAATCCATAACACAGTCTAGTGCTGATGTGGCCAATATTCATATCTTCTTTGTCATCAAAATCATTACCACACAGTGGTGAATGAATGACTGTATGAGGGGTAGACCTTCTCGGCCCTTGCACCGCGACCTACAGTGGTCTATTGGGCTTTTCACACAGTGATAATATTTGACGAGTAATGCCATAATAAAAATCCACAGGAGCCATGTCATGTGTGGCATCTTCGTTGCTCTGATTCTGAACTGAGTCTATTTGAGTGTTATATTTCTTATGTCATAATTATTTTGGAGATTAATTTGATAATATTTAGCAACTTAGTACTGTAAACCCTCGATTTAATGGACTAATAGAGGGGACGGGGTGCGCTTTATCGCCGATGTCTGCTGTAACCAAGTGAAGGGGCATTCACAAAAGTATACAGTAGGATTACTTACTTACTTACTTATGGAGCTGAGCCCTTCTGGAGGAGCCGCCAAATCTGCAGCTACTCAAGAATTTCCCAGCATTTTATGGAACCCAAAGGTTCTTTACTGTGTTCACAAGAGCCCTCCACTGGTCCCTATCCTGAGCCAGATCAATCCTATCTCTCTAAGATCCATTTTAATATTGTCCACCCACCTATGCCTTAGTCTTCCCAGTGGTCTCTTTCCTTCTGGCTTTCCCACCAATATCCTGTGTGCATTCCTCATACACAGTAGCATACAAACACAATAAACACAGACACACACAGTGCAATTACATGAAGGTTTTTATATTGGGATTCTTTTAGTTATTTTAAATAGAGTTCTAACTACAAATTTTTGTTAGTGCTTCGGCATCTCTAAAAGTAAACAGTCATAAACAGCCAGATTTTGTGCATTATATCCAGGTCCATCATAGCGGTGGTTTACTGTTCTTTGTTTATCTTTATAGAAATATTTTTTTAACTATTTATGTAAAGAAAATAATAAATCATATATATATATACATATGCAGGAATTCTTCTAAGAAGATGAACAGTTTTTTATGCAATTTTGCCTAGCCTAATTTAGTGATAACCTTGGTTTAGTGTAAGGAAAGTCATTTCCCCAGAGATTCATTTTAATTGGGGGTTTCACTCTATCTTGAGTGTGATGTTCATTGTTACAGCTAATGAACGTGTGTACCTAATATTGAAGACCACCGTTCACCTATCTCACCCAGCAACCATGGACCTGGTACTCAGGAAACGTTTAAGTATCAACATCTACAAGAGGCAGAGCATCACAGATCGGATCCGACGGAAGATTGTTAGATCAGACTGCTTGAATCAGTGTGGAGTTACGTACGAAGTTGTGTCCAACATACCAAAGGTTTGCATCTTCCTTCATATTACTCCAGTTACATCTGATATAAACACCCATCGGCTGACACAGAGAGCCTATTTAAATGCTCATAGTAAATTGGCTTCACAGCATCCATAAGAAAGGTTACAGTAATGAATGCAAGGAACTTTTGAAACCATGTGTTTATATTGTTCACAGATGTGTAGTTGAGTGTCAGCTGTGAGTGTCTGATTGAAATTCTAGTGAGTGACCAGGTGCCATACCATTGTCCACAACCAGAGATTTTCAGAAAAGTTGAGTGGGTTACTGAGAGAAAGGAACTTTGAGTGTTTAATTAATTTGTAAACAAAGGAAGTATTTATTGGATATCCTATCCCATATGTGGTACACTTATTTATTCTAAAATAGATGCCAGCATAGTATTAAACTATATTGTATACTTGTGGTGGACAAGTTCTAAAGAAAATTGAAATTGGGAATTCATGTCATGGTCCTTTGGGTTATGATATTGGTTGTTGGTGTTTTCGAAGAACATCTTGGCTTCATATTCAGAGCAGAAAATGGAGTCAGTATGTTCCTGTAAACCATTGGTAGTTACTGTACGTATCAGCATCATACTGCATGATGTCATAACCCAGAATGTCTCGGTAACCATGAAAACTTTTTATGAATGTGCTTTCTGCGCTCTGCTAGGTAGTGCTGGAGTCAGGAATCTTTCTGCCATGAATGTGTTAAGAAAAGAATATTAAGATTACAACCCTGTGGAATATGATGGGTATTGTACCAACATTTCTGAGAAACCTGTTGCCTCCATTTACTGCCCTGAAGATGGAATCGGCAGGTTCCACCAAAACATTGGTACCTAACTACCAAACTAAAGCACAATAGATCACTATAGGTCGCGGTGCAAGGGCCGAGAAGGCCCACCCCTTATACATTCATTCATTCAACTACCAGACTGTGTGGGGTCATATCCCAGAGTACTGTAATCTTTATATTCACTGCTGTGAAGACCCAAGATCTTTAAAGTTGAGAATATACTGGCGTAACTTTGCCTTTGGCCAGTTGTAGAATTTATGTGACATGAAATTTGTATTTTTCTAGGCAAGTGAAGAACTTGAGGACAGAGAGTCACTGGCTCAGATTGCAGCATCTGGAGAAGACTCGTCACTGAGCGATGGGGAAACCTATATAGGTTAGTCTAATTCTGACTCATCTCAGTAATGCTCAGAATGCTGGGTATGGCTCACATTTAGTGACCTCCGCAGTCTAGGGATAACATTCCCACCTCATGACTCAAGGTACGCGGAAAAATTCAGGGAACAAGTCCTCCAGGAGGGACTTTAAGCCGGGTGTCCCGTGTCGTAGATTTACGGCATGTAAAAGGTCCTCATGTCTCTAGGAGACCTCTGAGCAAAATTAGGCAAAAGTTTCCCACCCAAGTAGTTTCCAATGCCTCCGGTAGATGGGGAAGTATCGGGGACCACTGCCAGAGAGGGCCGACCAGAACAGGGCTGATAGTGAGCACCAATACTGGAAGGGCATGGCAACTAGTAGAATAATTAAAGGGGGATGCACAATAGATCAACAAATGGTTGCAGTGCATGGGGAAACCCACCCCCTCCAAAATAATAATAATAATGGCTCACATTTCCTTCAGAAGAATGAGTGGAAATCATTTTCTGTTGGTTGCTTCAAAAATGAAATAAGTCTGAACTTCATAATGTGCAGCATCGTATTTTGTACTCCCCCCCAAATACAGTGGGACTGCCGTTAAGGTTCTATTTGGGAGGAGAAGTATGAACATAAACTAAAGAAGACCTTAAATGGAGAAAATTTAATGCTGAAATTGCTTGCATTTGATCATTGAAATTGAATGTTAAATGTAGTGAAACCTTCAGTTAGGGAACAGTAACTGGATGTTCCACTGTATTAGGTTGACAAACTCAAGAGAGAGGGAGTGAGAAGGGAAATGTAGCATGCATGGGGTAAGTGAGGAATGTGTACAAACCTTAAAGAAAGAAACATTTGGATGGCGTAGACATGGATGCTAGGATAAGTATTCATCAGACTGAAAAGATTGTTGGAAATGAAAGATATAAACATCATTGAGATCCGTATTTTATGTCCTGTATCAATATTTTGTATAGTAACCTTTTTTTTTTTAAGTGTGCTTTATATTTGTACCAAAATTAAGTTACCAGAAATATATTTCAGAGAAATACACTCGTGGTGTCAGTGCTGTGGAAAGCATTCTGACGCTGGACCGACTGAGACAGAATGTTGCTGTGAAAGAATTGTTACAAGCCCAGGGACAACCTCTGATGCGGAAAACAGCCAGTGTGCCAAACTTCTCACAGGTAATCAGTCAAGCCAGTTGATGGACATAACTTCAAATATACACAATATTTTCATGTTTGTAATTTTTAACATACAACATTATTCATAAATATGTTATGATCTTCCTCCACAACAAACTTCATGCGCTTTTCTGTCATTTTTTCATCAGTCATGTCTGAAGAATAGATATTATTCTTTGTATGCAGCCTGTTGTTTCATAATTAATAGGAAAAGGTTTTAACAGTTTGTTTTATTTCAGTGGCTGCTACATGTTTTGGTTCTCACAGGACCATCAACAGGTAGTTCTACAAATACGTCTGTGAGTGTACAGCGTACTTGAGGAAACACAGAATGCCCACATAGTAATGACACACCATACTGCATAGTAACAATACTTACACAATGACATATCCTAGAAGTCATACGGAAGAACTAGAAATACAGCACAATCTTTGTATGTACTCATATCTGCATATAACAACACACCCTCGGACATAATACTGTTATGCATAACACAACACGTTTCGTAACATTACAAGGACACAGTTTTTAATACTAAAATTTTAATGTGCAATGTACTTTTAATACACATTAATTTTAACTTTATGGCATATTCATGATTGTACTTTATGACTGATATGCATTGCACCAATATGGATCCATGTTGGGCATTCAGTTATCTACAGACGTATTTGTAGAACTACCTGATGGTTGTCCTGTGGGGACCAAAACATGTAGTAACCACTGAAATGAACCAATTGTTAAGAGTTACCTTGGTTTATTTGATTAAATATTGTTGTGTCAACAGCCAAACCCTTTCTCATTGAATATATATTCTTCATGTTTGTCTTTCGTAACGTTACATTCTAAAGAATAATTATCATGTAGTGAGTTGTATGTTGGCATCATATACATATTCATTGCTCACATTAGGATTATGATCTTCTGGGACATGTGGTCTGGTAGACAGGTACTACCATATCGGAGGATCATACCACTTCTCTCAAACTACAAGAAGTGACATCCTTTACCCAGCAGATAGAGGTGGCAGGTTCCACTGAACTGTTGGTAACTGTGTTTCAGTCCACATGCCGTCACAGCTCATAACACTGTAATTTTAATATTTGCCGCTCTTGGGAACCCGGGTCTCACTTAAATGGCTCCGTTCTTGATCTTGTATCAGAAGTTAGCATGGCCTTTAATGAAATGACAGTCGTACCAAGTTTCACAAAAACTGGTCACTTGTTTAGACAGTTATAAAAAGGGACATGCAGGCAATAGGAGCCATGGCTGCAACACACACACATGCAAATTACACTAGTCTGTCCTTCACTGGTGGCTTAAAATGTTATTACGTACTTCACTTGGTTCCTTTTTTTTTCAGTGTGAGATTTGAGGGTCTGAGAGGGGTAATCGCAAAGATTGGTGTCTTTTTGGGATTTGATGCCACGTAGTCAGCCCTCATTCATGATTGTTCAGGAGGAAGCCGCTTCCTCCATCTATAGGGCAGAAGATGGAGGCAACAGGTTGTTCCAAAATGTTTAAACATTTTTCAGACTGTATGGCATAAAATCCCAGAAGACAGTAATTTTCTCTTCTGTGTTATTTGCATGGTGTACGAGAAGCCAAGAATGATCAGAGTTGAATTTGAGTGTGGTTTATTCTCTGTAGATTATGAGGTTTGACTCATCATTTGACGGAGTAGTCGTACGGTCAGAGAGTGCAACAGATCTTAATTCCGAATTAATGAGCGGACCAGGGATGAGAGAATCAAGGAATAGACCTTCGTCTGCGTCTGGTTATGGAAAAGTTCCAGGTGATGCCGATCACATTCCGGCGCCTTCAAAACCATTTGGCCTTGGTGAGTACATACGTACTCTTTTCTTTTTCATGTATTTCTAGCCACATAACTCTATAAATGTACTGTAATTTTTTCTCATCATGGTCTCTCATGTACATCCATTGGAAAGTTCTGAGGTCATATCAGTTAATTATAACTGTTATAGAACATTACGCTCATCTGGGATGTGAGGCTGTGTAGTTTGGTAGATTGTCAGCAGTGTTTCAGAGGAACGTGTTGCTTCTATCTTTAGTGTAGGAGAAGTCGTTTGTTCTAGCCTTTACTCTTCTACCCTGAAGATGGAAACACATTTCACAGATACAGTGCTGAAAATCTACCACATTATGCTTCATCACATCCCAGAAGATAGTAATTATCTGGCTATCACAATGATAACCTCAGATTTCATTTTGCTCTGGTCTGGCTTTATCACGTTCATGTACATTTGAACTTCCATAAATCCAGCTCCATGTTAAATTTAATGTACAGACATAAAGTGGCTAATAAACCTCTATTTCAGATCAGGCAAAATGTTGTGCAGTTAATTTCTAGTATATGTACTGCAGGATTAGAATTTAAATTGCTGAAATTTATTTGGATTTCAGAATAAAAATATTGTAGATGTAAAATTACAAATATTCCTTCACTCAGTGTGTTCCAGTAGATATGCATGTTATATCCATGTGAGAAACATGTACATACATTTATGCATTGTCATACTAGTTGGATTTATAAACTCTGGCTGTATTTTTTTTATCTATATGTATCACTTTTTCACTGCTTCTATGAGAATAATGAGGTATTGACATGTTATCCATATTGGATACCCATCTTAATTTGAACATTATTCATTGTCATTTTTAATCTCAATATATTCTTTTGTTTCTTCTGATGTATTGGCACACATGAAACATTGTTATGCTTTTGTGCACATACATGTTCATTTCTTTCTGCTTGTACATTAGAAGATGTACTTTTGTGTCTGCCAAATTACTTGTTTTATTAAGAATAGTGTTTCTGGATATCTGGGATTTGCCCCCATCTTGTTGGGTATTCAAGTGGATGATATGTTTGTACATCCATGGAAAGAACACCCTAAATTATAGCTGTTATTCTCTGTAAATATGGCTTCTATGCATACAAAGTATAAATTATTCATTTAGCTTGTTTATGTGCGTGCCTTTAGGTCATCCAATGTTCGTTCTTACTTATCTTCTAGAATTAAATTTTAACTTCTGTTCCCCAAATTTCTAGAATTTAAGAAGTTGATTGTTAATATAAGTGAACTTTATTGGAATTTTTCTTTTGACTGCCATCATTCTATATAATTAGTTCTTAGTTGGGAGAACATTAGAATTTTAACTGTTTATGCATGGCAGGGCCCTATTTTTATGCTAATTTAGAATAAAGGAAAGTCATAGGACAAATTTGTAACCTAACCTAATTTAACCCAACACAGTCTGACATAATATGATCTAACATAATATATTTCTGTAGCATAGGAAGGATTAATCAAAAGGGTATAGTAAATACATGATCATGTGTCTGAAGCTTCTGTTGGTAATATTTGTTAAATTTCAGTAGCTTTGAATGCTGTGTTATACTGAAAGCTAACTTGTGTGTGCTAAAGGTTTAATTGTTCATTGGATGGCTTTAATGATTAATTTCTTTAGCTGTTTAGGGTGTTCCACAGTTTTGTTCTAATTCCTCACTATTATTGCGAGTACTTCCACCAGAGGTTGCTGGTAAATATGCTCCAGTGTTCTTATTATTGCTATGTTTGCGGTGTTCAAGAAAATGTTATGTCTGGGATGAGACATCTAGTTGCAATGCTTCCCACATTTAATGTGCTTCAGTGATGCTACGTTATGTAACAGATTTCTTGTCCCTCAGCATTTTCTTTCTTATTAAAACATATCTGGCTCTGTCATACTTAACATGAAGCACATTTTATATTTCAGTCTATTCATTCTTTCAAGAAATTCCTCCTTTTGTTTGTTTCTTTCTGTGATGCAAACTAACTTACTGATCACCTCGCCGCTTGCTTCGGTGTTTCCTTATCTATATATTTCTTGTTGCTTTTGTTCATTTTTTGTTTTTGTGTGTTTTATAAGCGTGGAGTTGTTCCTGCTGAAGGTCTGTTGTTAACTTTTGGCTGTGTATTTTTTTCTAGCACTGCTATTGTTCATCATATACACACAAAGACATTTTCCAGTAATATATATTTCTTCGTTTTATTAATTTATCATTCATGTTTACTGCACTGTTAAATTGATACAGTCTTTTGCTATAAAAATAATCCAGGGTTCTCAGTAATTTGTTAAAACCTAATTAAATGTGTTGCTAATATACTTGATAAACAGTAGCTGGTTTTTAAGCCTTGTTATCAACAGATTTGCTGCCCAGTTTACTTGCATTTAAAATAGTATTTGGTCATACTGTTACAGCACATACAAATCTGTCTGGAAGAAAACTAAAAATGTGTGTGTGGCTAATTCCTTGTAAATCATATGTGTTTCATATATGAAATTATTTTGAAAAACAAAGCAAAACATAAACTTCAAGCAGGTATATATATTTTGTTTAATCTTTACTAGCAATGTGATGCATTGCTGATTGCTGCACTGTTTAAAACTGATGTGATTAATCCTGACGTAAAATATGTCTGGTAGCACCTTAATACCAGGTTTGAAGTTACCAGTTCCCAGACAATGAACACTGTTGCTTCTGAGTTAAAATCAGGCTACCAACACTATAGTACTGAGGTGTGTAGAATCCCCTAGGTGTCAGTGGTAGAGAATAAATGTTTGTACCATCTAGCAGGACATGATTAAACACAGTATTATAAAAAGTACTACTAATTCTTTCATTTTTGGAAAATTATCTTGTACTTAAGAATATAGAAACTGCTGCAGAGAGTTGGTCATAAATATTTTCTAAGATCATATCATTTTTAACCCTTTCTGTGCTCTATTTTTTGGCAAATTTAAATGAAGGAAATGTCAAAGGTTGTATATATACTTCATAACTGAACCTAACCTAACCATACCTAACCTAACCTAATATGTCAGAGGACATGTATATATACATCCATAGCACAGAAAGGATTAAGAATTGTGTACATTTCTAATTCTTGTGAACACAGTAGTGAACTTATGGGTACCTTAAATAGCAGTGAATTTCTTGACTAGCTGAATGACTGGTGTATCAGCTTTTCAAGAAGAGCTCTGTTTCATGGAGTTAGTTGGCAGCAGCTATGTAATGAGTAACCACAGTAAATAAGAAATCATACATTGTGGGAACCCTGGATAGTGCTTAAATCATAATAAAATACAGGAACGGAAAAGAAGACATAGTGATAGAAACTGAAGATAGAAACTAAAAATACGGCTGCAAATTCTCTTTTATTACTATGACAATTTTCTTTTGTTTTGTTCTGCAACCTAGGCTCCATTCTCTCAGGTAAAATGGGGCTTGTTTTTTCATCTGCTAGATTGTTCCAACTCAGACTATTCAAAATGGTTTGACATCATTGTTGCTTGATTAGTTCTGATGAAAAATTCTTCTTCCTGTACTCATGGTATCCTAATGATACAAGGTTTATTTATATTAATTACAAAGTGTTCACTGACTCTTCCTGCTAATGGTTAATGAAAACTTCTAATTGTTACTTATGAAGAAAGAAAAAGGCTAAATTGTATCCATATAATAATAGTATATGTACACTACAAACATGAGTATAGTATTGCTTTGGACATTGTTCATCATCTTAGGTTTCTCAAAGAAATGTTTTAGGAAGTGGATCTTCTTCTGTCATCAGGTATATGAAGTGAAAGGCTCTTACTTACATATTGAGGTCACTTAGAAAGGGGTGGACTGGGCCACCAGAGTCAGTGGGTGCAGTGGTCAAGGAAAGCCAATTCTAATGGGTGTTACCGAGCAGGAACCTTTCCTCCTTTCATCCAGGAGGATGAAAAGACATCTTTTTTCCTAAATTCTGTGTTTGAAAAGGGCGATAGTGTGCAAAATTATAGTCATATTTATTGTTAACACACCATCATCAAAACGTTTGCAGTTAAAATATACATGGATTTATATTTGTGTTTCCTGTGATACAGTATCTCTCTGTATGTATAGTAAGTACATATGTACCTTGAAGTTTCATTTGAAATGTGTTGCAATAGAGTACACAGGAATGATGAAGAAGTAGGCCAACACAAGGAAGGGTATGCGTAAGGCATGTCCGTTTGCTGTTTATTCCCTGTAAACTAACATTTTGAAAAATATTTTGTCTTTTTTCTCATCCCATATATCATATGTCTATGTTTTCTTATTGGTAAATGGTAACATTTTACCTCAATTGTAATATATTTTTACCATTATAGATGCTATATTTTCTTCTAAATAATATTTTTATATATCATGAAGTTGATTTTAAGGGACCCAACAGAGTAGGTGTCTCCCCACTCACCTGAGGACAGAAAGAGGTTCAGTTTCCAAAACGTGTTCTCTAGTTTTTAGAATACCAGGATATTGGACAAAGTCCAAAGATCCAGTAATTCTGAGTATTATGTGTATACTGCCTTCTCATACTACTAATTCCCTTCTGTATATTCTGCTGACAGGAACAGGGACTTAGGCTTGATTGCTCATAATGACCCCTTCAACAATAAATTTTTAGTTTTGTGTTCCTACATTTAGTGAAATCATATATCTGGAGAATATTTTCTCTGTTTAATGCTTTAGCACAATATAAACAATGTGTTATCTTCTTGCATATAAACAGTTCTGATTTAATAAATTATTTGCATTTAGTGGAAGGAATGCTTGGCCTTGCAGAACTTATATTTCGATTCATTGCAGTTGTGGTTGAAACAATTGACATTCACATTTTCTGTCTGCTGGAAATTATTTTCACAATACATTTGTGACTGTTCCATATGTCACTAATTGTTTTATAAATGAATTTTATATAATTAATTGTGTTCTTTTATTTGTGTGTCTAGAAACAGTTTCTGTATCTACTTACACAAAGAAATTATTCTAGTATAATTATGTACCATAAGTCTTGTAAGAAGATAAACAGTTTCTTGATGCAATCTTGCATAACTCCCTTTTAGTGAAAATTCTGTTTGTTACAATTTCTTTATTACAGTCCATCACAGCACGACAATATAAAGGTCAATGCTAAAATTAGCTTGGCTACATGTTTCGGCTATTAAAGCCTTCACCAGGCAAACACATGACTACCATATTCACACACCACTGAACTGCAATTGTGATGGTAAAGCTGGACACTTGACGACACATTATAAAATACATGGTATAAAAGCACAATGAAGTACGAACTTATTAAAACGAAAGTTATGACATAAAATAAGGTTAAAACTCTTACATGATATTCTATATCAAGTCAGTTTCTTGCAATTTTGTTATATTCATGCGGACATAATGGTATGTTCAGACTTGTATACATGTAATAAACTGCTTGCAGGCCCATTGTATAGATGTAATATAGATTTGACATTAATTGTTTAGCCAGTGCCTCATCTTACAATGTATTTGTCCATTCTGTAAGGAAGTTGCAATCTATATTCCCTACAGAACAGACAAATACATTATAGGACGAGGCACCGGATAAACCATTAATGTCAAAACTATATTACTGCCTCCAAGCAGTTTATTACATGTATACAAGTCTGAATATACCATTATGTCTGCAGAAATATAACAAAATTGCAACAAACTGGCTTGATAATATAGAATATCACATAAGAGTTTTAACCTTATTTTACGTCATAACTTTAGTTTTAATAAGTTCATACTTCATTGTACTTTTATACCACGTATTTTATAATGTATTGTCAGGTATCCAGCTTTACCATCACAATTGCAGTTCAGTGGTATGTGAATATGGTAGTCATGTGTTTGCCTGGTGAAGGCTTTAATAGCCGAAACATGTAGCAGGGCTAATTTTAGCCTTGACCTTTGTATTGTTGTGTTGTGACGGACTGTAATAAAGAAATTGTTTATAACAACACAGCAGGATGCATGAAATGAAAATTCTGTTTACTGTTATAATAGCCATTCCTCAAGAGATTTATTAAATAGGGATTTCATTGTACATACTTCAAGTATACATAACCCTCTTGCTTACAGTGATTGGTTTGTAGGGGTCTGACTAAGAAGAATACAAGTCTTCAAGTCTGTTATACTTAATGTTAATCTGTCCATATATTTTCATTTATAATTTGTACTATATAGAAATGACGTATCCCAAAATTAAAAAGAGTGTTATCCAAATTAAATCTTAATATACAGTTTCTGCTCCGAAATAGTGATGTTACTTCATGCATTTATAGTACCTGAGTGCTGTGGTGTCAGCCATATTGGATAGTTTGAAATGGCCCAAGTAACTTTGTGCTGGAGTATTATCATAGTCACAGTTTTCTTTTTCTTTCATCATTTCATTGAGTTAGTTTCTTGCTTGTCGCATGAGTGCGTGGGCTTAGATCTGTAGAGACATGCTGAATTTTGATCTATTTTTGCATTTATGTCCTCCTCAGATGTGAATGTCTGTTCTTTTCCTTTCACCAAACTCAGTCAAAATGAATTTGTTATCATTGCTTGTTACTGCAGGGTGAAGGTAGGCCACTTGATAATTAAATGGTGGACTGCAATAATGTGAGATGGGATAATTTCCTAAAAAATGTGTGAAGTTTCCAGTGTTTATGAAGTTCTTGATCGTAACTAAATTTGGCAACTTTGTGTGCACAAGGTTCTTCAGTTTATGCTTCATTGTTGAATATTTAACAAAAATACAGCTATATTTTTTAAACAGCAATGAGAATCATTTGGTATTTATTTCTCATTTTCCAGAATCCCTTGTTGGTATTTATAATTGTTTCAACCTCTGATGATTCATGAATTGTAGAAATTAGTAACTGAAGTAACTATCAAACAGTGCTTGAAGTGTGCTTATTTTTATATCTGATGACATTTTGCATTTTTAATTAATGAAGATGGTTTTAATGCTGGTAAAGGTATGTCACATGCATGATTATTTTTAATGGTTCTGAGACAAAAGGTGAATAAAAAACACCAGAATATGGTTAAAAATATTTCAAGCACTGCTTATGATGCCATATCCCTGTCTTACCTTTAAACACTGTCCATTCTGAATATATGCAGTCCACCTATAAGCCATTAAGGAAATTATTAGGATTTCAGGAACAGAACATGTGAACTTAATGTTTGGTTTCCATTGTTTTTTTTATATATGTCTACCCTCATTTCCTCATTTACATTTTGAACATGATTAGAGAGCAAATGTTGTTTCAAAATATGCTTGAGAAAATGAGCAACCATTAACATGACATTAAAGATAAGAGCATGAATTTCATTGTTGTGTGCCAAGGAATTACAAACATAAAATGATTATTTATTTTTATATGGATATTGATGTAATATGTCTATATATAGGGCAGATGTAGCAGCAGGGACAAACCAAGCGGACACCTGTGGGCTGTACAGTTTTAGGATCCCCTTATTTCATTTATTTATGTAAATGAAAATTCATTTGTGATGCTACTTTGTTCATGTCATGACAAATTACATCCACCTAAACATAAAGCAACAATAATATGTCACTATGAACTGCAAGCACTGGCATTGTTGTCTCATTCTATAATCTCAAACCCACAGCGACACGATTGCTATCACTCGACGATACCATGTTGTATTACTCTTTCTTTAGTTCATTTTTTAAGAATTATGACAGTGGTGATGGTTTCCATATCTTTGCCCAGGAATTTTGTGTCATTAATTGTGACAAAGTTTTGAAAAAGTGAAGTTGTTCTTAATTTGGGGGTGATCACTCATTATGTAAGGCAGCATTTAAACTTGTCTGTATGCTGCCAAAATACACTTGAAACTCCACTTCTGATACAAGACCCATAGTATTGATTATGGCATTTGTGTGGTATGAGTTCAGCTTTTATCGTTTGTTGTTCACATGCCAAGTATAGGAAAAGTTTGTTAAGCACAGCAGTGAAATATTATTACGGTGTTAATGATGTTTCATGTGAGGAAAGATTTGGACAAAAAAAAATTTTGTTTACAATTCTTTTGTCACTTTTTTTTTTAATTTTATTTTATTCTAAATTTAATAATAGTATCTGTGAATGAGTACAAACAGTATTTTTACTTTTATCAACAGATGTGCACTATAGTTTCATCCCACCTGCTACACAATGGTGGAGCATCCATAAATGCCTTGTATTTTATTTATGCATTAAAAATAATATGTCTCTCTGATTTTGAAACAAATGTGTTTGTGTGAGGCCACAGGTACATGCTAGAAAATGAAAAGTAGAAACATGTGTTTTATGTAGTGTAGTGAATGTAGTTTGGTAGCTAGTTTAAAGTCACAGAGGATGTTTAAAACCTGTTTAATATGATCTGTCTGGTGCTTCTAAGAAGGAGATAAATTTGATGGTGGAACTAAAATGGGATTGTAATTGCATCTTGAACTGCATGATTATAGGTTGTTTCACATTTAGATTCTAGTATGGATAGATAATGCTACCGTCAGTTTAGACTGTCTGTCATTTGTTTCTTGATGTCTGATTGTAATAGATTAATAACACGTTAATCTTTCCCTGTGAGTATTACGTTTCTGAAATTACTGTTTCACATCTTTTCTTGCCAGCTGTCCCTTCTAACCCAGATGGGGTATGACTCCGCACTTTTGCTCTCGTTGCTCTTTCAGAACATAAACATGTAGAGGGTGTAGCTGAAAGGTGCAGACAAAATTTGGACATGAGTTCCACATAACCAAAACAACAAAAGAAATATTCATGTAAACATGTGTCCAGAAACGTTAATTTGTGAGTTATAGCTGAAAGGATTGCCTCTGTGGTCTAGTGGCCAGAGTTCCTGGCTACAGATCCAGAGGTCCAGGTTCGATTCCTGGTGCTACCAGATTTTCTGAGAAAGTAGTGAGTCTGGAACGGGCTCCACTCAGCCTCATGAGGATAATTGAGGAGCTATTTCAGGAAATAGCTGCTCTGGTCTAGAAAACCGAGATTAACGGCCATGGGGATCCGTTACGCTGACCACGCAACATCCTCTATCCACAAAAGTTGGCAGTAACTTCGCCAACAAATGTCGATCTCTCGGTCAGTATAGTTCGCTTGTGGATCAAGCCACGGAGTTTGTTGTTTTGTGAATTATAGCTGAAAGATTATGGTGTAGTGTCACATTTTAGCCGTGCTGTGCAAGATGTTCCCAATAACACTTGTCATGACTGATGGATAGGTAGAGGAGGACCCACTTCATGGCCTCCACACTTACCGGATTTGAATCCTCTGGATTTTTACCTGTGGGGACACACAAAATTCCTTGTGTATGCAGCTCCTGTTGACAATGAAGAGGCAATTCACCATCTCATTCTGGATGAATGTCAGACTATCCACATCTACCCTGGCATCTTTGAAGGGATGCTGCTGATAATGATCAGACATGTCAAGATGTACATTGCATTGTATGGGGGACATTTTGGGTGCTTATTATAAATGTGCTCTATCATCTGCAACACAGAAATTAAATGTTTCTGGACACTTGTTGATATGGACATTTTTTCTTGTTTTGGTGTGTGGAACTTGTGCCCAGATTTTGTCTGCAACTTTGAGTTACATAAGAGGTTAAACAGTTCCATCCAGTGTGACTAGTAAAGATTTTTCTTATTTCAGTCATTCATCCCTTACATGTTTCAGTCTTTACGGACCATCCTCAGAGGGACATCAATACAAGCAGAAGCCACAATTACAGTATGTGCTTGAATGCCAAGTATATATATATATATACAATGCTGACAAAGTACAATGGGTATATAAGCTAATGTTTCAACAACTACAGCGGGTGTCTTAATACGTTAAAATATTTACAATTAGTTTGTTAAAATTTTTGTTGGATTGAAATAAGAAAAAAATCTTTACTAGTCATGCTGGACGGAACTGTTTAACCTCTTACGATATTGTTAGTGTGACGGACCAAAATGAAACAAATCAAACGTTGAGTCACACCTTGTATACATGAGAACTCACCTACCCTACTCAGTTTGACCCCCAAGATGGAGGCGGTATGTAATTTTGAATTGTCAGCAGCACCACCTAGATCCAAGATGTGAACCAACAGCAGGTGGTTACTAGAATGCCTTTTTGTACCCTATCTAGAGCATTACAGTGACTTAGAGACTAGCTGTTAGTGATACAGAACATAAAAGTTCTAATTCTGATTTATTGTATTTGATATTGATACTGAACTATCTGAACAGTGAAGTGAAGACAGTCTAAAGTGATTCACCATCTACTGGACTTGTCTATATAGCTTTAGTGGCTTTAAGATTCCAAGTTTACAAGTTGGAATCAAGGATGCTTCTGGTACTGAATCATGTTGCATCATCAAAATCTTATGTTATAGAGTTCCCCAAACCTATACAGCAGAAATGGGGGGCCTTTATGAACAGGAACATTTGTGGAACTAACTGAGATTAGACAGGGTGTACTCCATAATGTTGCACATAGAATTACCAGAGATATTCTTTGAGGTGTAATAAACTTACTAAAAAAAATGTAATGATGAAATGCAAATTGGTGAAAGGGTCCCACATCAAATTCCAGCTAAATCTGACAAGTGAATTATGGGATATGCTGAAAAGTCCATATATGTTGTTACATAAACCAAGCTTTGTTGTAGATTAGTGTTGATGATAATCAGAACTGCCTGACAAATTGTGGTGAAAGTCTCCCAGTTCAAATTTCAACATTATTTGTGAAACAGTTTGTTGGATACATGAAAAAGTCCATTTGTGGCATTATGTGTGCCAGGCCTTGTACAAATCATTATGGCTTCTTCCACGTGTATTGGTGTTCTTTTGTTTAGTGATCCTGTTTTTTATGAATTTCTATATTATGTGCTTTTCTAGGAAGTAAAGCAATGTTGGGTACACACTCCATACTACTCCGGGATTTTGTATTTGTACTATACAAATGATGAAACATGAGTCTGAATTTGAAACATATTACAGTTTTGTGCATGTACGCTACAAAGTACCATGATTTCCATACTGGAATCTAAAATTGTGAAACATTATATGGAATTAGTTTGTGAAAAAAATAAGATTTGAAGAAATAGGAAAGAAATCATTGTTCTGTTAGTGCCTCTAGAAAGTTTACATACATATTAATGTAATGGATAATTTCATACAATTTGGGCCATTAACTTGTTACTGGAATGACGTGGTAAATTAATTGACTAAACAATGCATGGCGCATTTGATTGGTTGTGGATTGATCCAGTGAAATGTTCAATGTTAGAAAAAACATGTTCTCATATATTTAAGTGCTATGTAAATGTTAACTGAAAGTGTAAGTGGAAAGTCATTTTTAATTTCCACGGATATAGTCTTCCCTTCAGTCTCTCTCTGACTTTAAACAGAAGCTGACTGGAGATGTTTCGTGGGATAAGATATTAGACTTTTTGTGTATCTGTGCGTGTGTACATTTCTATGTGTGTGTGGATGTGCGTGCATCTACTGTGGCAAGTAGAATCCACTCAGCTTTACTGAATGAAGCAGATTCTTTGAGAAACTAATTGTAGCTAAGCTAGTTAACAAATTTCCAGCCTTTTATGGATCCTGAAGTTCCATTACCATGTTCACATAAGCCTGCCATTGGTCCCTATCCTGAGCTAGATAAATCCGGTTCACTCTTTACATTGCTGTTTCTTGAAGATCAGTTTTTAATATTTTCTTCCTGTTTATGACAGGGTCTTCCAAAAGGTCCCTTCACTTCAGGTTTTCCTACCAAAATTTTGCATGCATTTCTTACCCCTGTTTGCTACTTGCTTTATCATCCTCAAATCGATCATTCTAATAACATTTGGTGGGAGATACAAATTAATGAAGATCATTAATGAGGAGATAAGAGGACTTAATTAAAATGTACCTTAGGGAAAGGGGTTGTGAGAGTTGGAGATGATGGAATTGGTTTGGGATTGTGTTCAGTGGCAGGCTTTGGTATTGGCAGTGTTAAATTTTTGGATTGTGCTACCTGACAGTTAGTTACTTAGGTGCTTCTAGTGTAGGTGAGGGAACATGTCCTATTTTTATCAAGTACTGTAATTGAAACACAAGCCGGAAGGTCGCAGGTTCAAGTCCCAATAAGGTCACTGAATTTTTTTCAATTGACCTAGTCCTTCCAGCCGCACTATGGCCCTGGGGTTGACTCAGCCCCTAACAGAAATGAGTACCAGGAATTAATTAAATAATTTTCCTGGGTAGTAAAGCGCAGCAGGTGCGTAAGGCTGACAGCCTTACCGCCATCTTTGAGCCGATCGTCTAGATAATGTGGGAGCCTCAACATCTCACAACACTATGGACCTTCACGGCCTGTTACAGGGATAGCTTTACTATTTTACTGTAATTGAAACATCTGTTTGTTCCTTTGAGTGGATTCTTCCTGCTGATGTGTGAAGGATATTCTGGTGTAAGTTGTGGTTTCTTGTGGGATATAGCTCTGAAGCAGCTAATTCTGTTCTTACAGTGTACACACTATAGTTGTGTACTGTGAGATGTTCAGAAACACTGTGCAGACTTTGATATACATCTAATGTTTTATTGTTTTGTGTTCATTTTGCCGCTTTACCTTTTGAACGTTTACCGGTACGCAACTGAATAGGTTCCTACCTGCCTTTTTGTCTTCCCATGGAAACAGATTCAGTTCTGTCAGGAGTACCAGATGATGATGGTAAGGTACGGTAAAGATTTCTCTTTGCGTAACTAATTAAGCACTATGCCATGAAAGCGTATGGGGGAGTGGATGTATAGATCCACGTTATCTTGGTCTTGGCGCTAGTTGGAGGTGAGTGGTCAGCTTCACATCCCGGCCACTTTACCCCCAAGGAAAGAGCCCCTGGTACCTATTGGACATTAGGCTGGGTTGGGCCCAAAGCCATTTTTTACAATGTGGAGAAGAGAAAATTCTTGACCCTACTGGGACTTCAACTCTGACCCCTTGTTCGTCCAGCCTGTAGCCAGTTACACTAACTGCACTATCCCAGCTCCTACCAGACAATGAAATACCAGAAACTCACTAATTCCCGTAATTATGTTGGCAGACATGTTTAGAGTTGACCGGTTGTGTTCAGGTTGCACAGTGTTTATGAACGTACTGCTTCCTTTCTTTTCCCGTTGCCATTCTGACATACGGAGGGATGTGATGACAATAAATGTGTGAATCGTTTCAGCTCGTCCTACTTTCCTCAATCTGAACTTGAATCTGAATTCGCTTCGTCTGCAGCCGGCTGGGCCCAAACGTACGTCTTTTCTTCTTTCTGTTTCTTGCTGTTCGCACCCTTTTCACTTACCGTGGTATGTGTTTCTGTGCTTTGTCTATTTCTGCCACTCTGCATCTTATATTCTTTCTCTTTTTGGTTCTCGTTTAAGACGGAACAGGAGTGGAAATGAAGAACACATTTTCTGAACCGTTCTTTATTATTGTTGTGTTCCTTGCTGGTTTTAATGTTCATTAATTTCATGCCTCTGCAAAGCTTCTCACATTGCATGTAGTTAGAATAATTTTTCCTTGTATTTTGCTAAGCATTCACTACACTGAAACTCTCATTTAAAGTTTCTGTAGGGAGCAATGGATTTGTTTACTAAATTGAAGAAAATCATTACCATTGTGACATGACGGCTGAAAGCCGAAATAGTTCATTACTAGGCAACAGTTCGGTAAATGCATTCCCATGGAAGGGAAAGCATGCAATGATAGAAGAGCGGTGTTTTCTGTGTCCTATGCCACACGCATTACTATGTGACAGTGTGGTAAACGCATCTCTTCAGCGGTGATTTAACACACAATGAAGGCTAATTGGATTGGTCATATCTTACGCAGTAACTGCCTTCTAAAATAAGTTATTGAAGGAAAGATAGAGGGGCAGATAGAAGTGACCAGAAGACGAGGAAGAAGACGTAAGAAGATGCTGGATGACCTTGGGGATAGAAGAGGATATTTTCATTTGAAGGAGAAAGCTCTAGATTGCATCAAATGGAGGAACTGTTTTGGAAGAGACTGTGGACTCTTGACAGATTACTGATGAATGAATGGAGGAAGCAGTGTTTGCTGTGGGGGCTGCCCCGAGGCTGTGTAGTGAGGATCTCATGCAGCTAGAATTAGAATTGAGTTGAGTTCCAGAGATCCAAGTGAGCAGTTAGTCAAGAGTTGAGCTCTGCAAAGATGAGCGAGAAGAGATGGCAGTTGCAGCAGGAAATTAAGAGAGCTTCTGGAGTTAGCAGTTGGCAGAAAAATTGAGAAGAATTGGCAAGAAAGGAATTAGGCTGTGCAAAGAAGACGTCTTAATGGGCTGCAATAACAGACTGTTATACATCTGTTGCCAGGGTACAGCTAGTGAAAACTGAGGAGATGTAGCGTGCCCTAAACAAAAGAAACTCCGTGATTTTAGTCCGTAAGTGAACTATACCGACCAAGTGACCACCGCTTGTCGGCGAAGTTTAATGCAGATAGAGGGTGTCGCGTGGTCAGCACAACGAGTCCCCACGGCCATTAATTTCGGTTTTCTAGACCGGAGCCACTATTTCCTTGAAATAGCCCCTCAGTTATCATCTTGAGGCTTGGTGGACCCTGTTCCAGACCCACTACTCCGAAAAAAATCTGGTATCGCCGGGAATCGAACCCAGACCTCTGGATCTGCAGTCAGGAACGCCTAGTGGTTTGTGAAGTGTGTAGATCAGAGATAGCACTGTAATTACGTGTATTTCTGAGTGGTGTGTATAAGCTGTCAATAAATCTAATATCCAGTCCATACCCCATCTATAAGTCACGCACAACCCCTAAATACATGATAGTGTTAAGGCTTTCATTGCATTCCTTTCCTGAATAGATTGACCCTTCAGGCGTAACTTCAGGTGTTCATTGATTATGTTCCAAACTGTTCTGGTTCCATTCTTTCAATATGATGATTCATTTTGGATCTAAAATTCTGCATCCTGTCATCTGAATTGAATATATTTAGTTAATATATAATTACTGTAGTTTTAATTTAATATTTTAATGAGAAATATCTTAAATATAGGCAATATGACAGTGAGATTATTGACTTCAGTCATTGATGATAATGTTAAATGAGGGTTTCACTGTATATATATTGCAGACTATGTTTTGATGTTATTTATGCGTCGTGTGTCAGTTGCTTGTCCAGTGAACCATTCTGGAGAAAAGTGATGAACTTAAGTTCAGTTTCATGTACAGTAGGTGTTATTTTAGACTGTACAAGTTACAGTTAAATTCTCTTAACAATTCTTAGTATAGACTCTAGTGCCAAATTTTATCATAATTTATTCACTATTTTTTTTTTGAAGTTGAAATATGCAGGTGGGTGGGGGGCAGATTTTACCTCCCCCATTTCGTTTTAGGCACTCATTGTAGAGGACACCTCTTTTTTCATCCTAAGAGTACTTACTCAGGTAGATGGTTACCAAATTTTCAGAGGAACTCCTTTTTTTCGCCCATCTTCAGGATGGATTATGCTGAGCATGGAAAAACATGGTGGTGTTACAGGGAGGAGGGACAAGTGCAATAGGAGCTGAAGATAGCCAATCATAGTAAGGAAAATGGCAAAAGAATCTGAGGCCCTGCCAGGGGCATTTTTGCTAATACCGAAACAGGAGAAAAACTGTTCTGACTGCTGGATGATGTTGTGTGGTCAGAAGAGGTGAAGTAAAGAGATGTGGCTGCTACATCGCCTGTTTTAGTGGTAGACCGAATGGGAAGAAAGACACAAACACTACCAGGGGCTGAAAGCAGGGTGAGGGAGACAGTCGTGAAAGAATTGCGTTCTTTGGTGGAGTGGATAAGAGGTTTCCATGACTTGATTAGGCAGGAGCCTTCCTGCTTACTCATGTTACTGTGACATAGCCGTATCTCAAGTCACCTCCTCGACAGTGTGTTCTGTGTGTCTGGAATTGGTGGAGGGGATACTTGTATCCTGGAGACATTTACAGAGATTTGAACTAGTCACCTCCAGAATATTAACCAGAAGAATTACTGCTTAAGTCAACTTGTTTGGTATTACTTCATGTTTCTTCCCATCAATCTACTAAGACAAAATTCAGCCTTACAAATGCCACAGATTCTTTTAGCCTTTCCATTGCTCTGATTTGCCCTGAGCTTCTACCAAACTGCACAGCTACTGTTCCCTTGAAACAGTAAGAGCAGTATCTGCTTTTCTATCAGTGTGTGGAGATGCGAAGGGATGGAAATAAAGTGGCTTATCCATATATTTATGCCAAAAAATCATTCCAAACTTCATTGACGAAAACATTTTCCCATTCTTATTTATACTATATTTCAGACATAGTTGTTGCAACGATTGTTTGCGATAAATATTAATGTAGTCTTTAGGATTGCTTACCAAATCAAGCTCATAAATATATTGACTCTTATAAAACTTCTAATAGATTTTAGTGTTTCTTTTTCTGGCATGTTACTCTCATGAGTAATTGTACTAATTCTTTTCCATTGTCCTGTTTCAAATCAGTGATAGACAAATTATTGTTTTTTTCAATGACAGCATCACCAAACATTGCATCCTCAAAACTGGGTCTGCGGATGACAACGCTGCATGAGGAGCAGAGTAGTAGTGGATCCCATTCTGGCCGTGAGATGCCACCACTGCTCCAAGAAGAGGAGTCATGTGATGATGGAGAACACCAGTCTTCTGGAAGAGTAAGCAGTGAGAAGTCAAGCAGAACGAGTAATGTCTCCTCTAGCAAGGTGGATGCTGATGGAACCCTTAGCGATCCAGAGTTCTCCGAATTTGAGTCCTACCAGGTTTGTTTAGTCATTTAAGAAGTCCTGTGAACCATCTGAACATGTGATAACTGACAAGAAATCATCCCATTACCACCGGATGAAATGTAACTCAGACGGCCAACCTTAATTAGAAATAATCCTATAGCCCCCAAGGTGGCCAACTTGGAAAAAAAATCATCCACTAGCTTCCAGATGAGTACTGAATCTTCCTGTAGCTAGTGGATGAACTTTAACAAGGTGGCCACCCTACAAGAAATTATCCCATAGCTCCCAGACTGTTATTGTTGTAACTGCCTCGGTGAAAGAAGATGAGAGGGGAGGCCAAGGTCACACTTCTGAAAGCCTATTGCATCAGTCCCCATGAGACATGACGCTGTAAACACGTTTTTTTTTTACACAAGTGCTTTTTTAACTTCGTGTTTCGTTTTGACTGCATTGAATGGCAAACTCTAGCAACATGTCTGCATTAAACTATGAACATTAAATGTTACTGTTAGACTGCTTCAACCAGTAAGGACTGTCTTTCCTATTTAAGGGCTGAAATACTCTTTGTACAGTATGTAAGTTTTGTAATACTGGTTTCCAGGGTGAATGTCCTCAGTCAAAGCAACACCAGCTAGTAAAAACAACGCTGCCAAACTCACGAACTCTGGACTCTTTATCTGAACTTCAGGTCACAAAAATGGGGACTCCAAGTACAACATCAAGGTATTAGTTACATTTTTTATTTGGGGTTACTATCTTATGCCTTTTCTGCATGTTTTACAGCCATGACAGTCATTTTGACATAGGTTACCCTTACATGAACCAGCAGGAATGCAGGAAACTGCTTTTTATCCAATATCAGAGTTTAAAGCTTGTATTTTATTTGTTTCTTAATAGATGTTAGTATATGAAGGTTCTTTAAGCAGCTGACATCTTATGCATCATGACGGACACAAATATCTCTCAGTAATATAACAAGAATAAAGGAAAGGGAAATTCAAAAGAAACAAACGTTTCTTCACCTTCCTGACATGTATTTCAGCTGGGAGAGCAAACCTGTATTCATGCGAGTATGATTCACACATTCTCATTATCATACTCAGGGACTGGTGAAGAATAGCTTGAGTTCCGGGAAATATTCCGGGAGCAGTTCTGAAGTTAGTGAGAAAAGGAAGCCTTCCAATGATCATTTGCCAAGGGACATGAATGTAGGGAGAGAGTCAACCTGGATTTTAGACCTTTTTCTTGTACCATGAGTTTAGTGAAGTGAAGAGATTAAAATGAATTCAGTTTCAGTATTGCAGTTATAAGCTTTTTGATTTTTTATTTAAAAAGTTTTGGAGAGTCCACTCGTCCTCCATCCTCAGGAAAAGCCTACTTGACAGGGCCCAATTAATAGAGCTCGTGACTGATACAGGATGATGGATAAAATAAACTCCATGGCCTGTAGTCCACAAGCGAACTATACCGGCCAAACGACCACTGCTTGTTGGCGAAGTTAGTGCCAAGGATGATGGATAATGTCCGAAAAGTCAATAATTGTATCAATATGCAATTGTCACAAAATTTAAATAATATTCAGTATTGCATTTGAGTTGAGAAATCCCATTTCTTTTTCCAGTGGTTATGGTTCACAGGCTGTGTCAAGTACAAATCTGTCCAGTGAAGATTCAATGTCAATTCGAAGCATCAGCGTAGATGAAACACCAGATATAGAAAGTAGAGCAATGATGTTTGTGGAACAACTTCAGCCAGTTTCTGAGGCCAGCGGTGATTTATGGGAGAAAGAGGGCCATGCCGCAAATAAATCAAACTGGAAACTGTCGCTGAATGAGAGGATGAATACTTCTCTGAAGAATGAAACTCAAGAGACAGTATCATGCCAAAAGCCTGCTGAGATTGTGGCGAAAGGAAGGAATAACACTGCAGATGGTGGAGATGTGGAGTCTTTTCCAGAGGCACACGCTGTGAATGAGACACAAGATATGCCACGGCTTGCGTCTGGAGATCAAGACTTTGGCCTCTCCACAACCGAGAGTCCCACATCTGACACTCTGTCCGAAGCTTCCAGGAGAGCAGCCTGCAGCAGTACACTTATATCACCAGCCGAGGAGACCCAGATCCTTGCAGACACTGACTCTGCATCCGTCAAGGCTGTTTCATCCCCTGAACCTACCAGCACTTCGCTTACAAACTCTGGTGATGATGAGTCACCATGTGAAGGGACATCAGTTGTTCACACTCGTCTGCCACCAGGCAAGGTATGGTATATTTACGAGTGAGGGATCAGCAAATGGGTCAGAAATTGATATAAAACATAAAACATGTGATATTTGAACCTAGAAAAAACATTTATTTCTTGACATATCCTCGCCAACATTGATACACTTGTCCCATTTCTTTACCAGTGTGTGAAAACCCGTAGCATAGAAGTCTTTTGGCTGTTTTCTCAGCCACTTCCGCACATAGTCTGGCATTATCTGTGGCTTTCGAATGTCCTTGAGAGAATTTCTAGATCCAGTTGTGAACCTCTTTATGCAATAAACATTTCCCACCATAAACAGGAAACATTTCTTTATGAATATCCTTTTCATTGAGTCCTTTTGCCCACAAAAAATGCACAACAGTACATTTGCTTTTCAGTAGTACTCTGCTCAAGCATGGTCACCAGCCTCTGAATATGCACATGTGCATCTGCTACCTAGACTGTCATTGGAAACGTATTAAATTTTACTTCAATTTGTCACCTATTTGCTGACTGTACGTCGTATCTGTATTGAAATGTTGCTAAGTGGACATAAGAATTTCTCAGTGTACACCATAGATATGCTACTATCACCATATACACATTAAATCCATAAACACTGTAATTTCTACACTTCCTTTTTTTTATGGTTTCCATATTTAGCTCAGTCAATATAATAACGAGGCTGCATGCCGGACTAACAAGGAGTCAGAGTTTGATTTCTGGAAGGTGCAGGACATTTTTGTCTTTTCTGCAGCTTCTAGACTGACTATGAGGCCCACATGTGATTGTTATTGCGGGCTGTTCCTCCATGGATGAAGTAGCAGGACTATGATGCAAACCACTATCTCCATGTAGTGCTGAGGTTAAGAATGATGAAGCTGTACCCCCACTCCCCCATACATCTACATTGCTTGGCATTTAATTAATTGAGCCCAGGGGTAATGTTACTTTTACCTGTGAAGTGGCCAGGTGGTATAGAGGGGCAGGCACTAAATTGTCCATATTTTAAGAATGTTGCTGTGGATTATGTTTCTGGATGGTGGCTTGATGTGGATGTGGACTGTTGTGTGGCTTTTCAGAGAAAATTAGTGTCTTTGCTTTACATTGAAGATGGAGACAAGATCTCTCAAACATCTGCCGTGCAATGTACATCTACACACTGTCATCCTCAAATCACAAAATTCACGTTGGCCTGAATTACATACTAGTTATGTGGTTAATTTTCATTTTGTCTTCTATTTCCGCCTTCCACCATTGCACTGATTTTCTTTTTATTGCTAGTGGGGTGGGACTAAGTCCCTTGTACTGCAGCCACTTCTGGCCTATTGTACCAGCCCCATATGATAGGAGAGGGTGAAGCGGCCTCCGTCGTCGAGGGGTAACGTTCCCACCTCATGACTCAAGGTATGCGGGTTCAAAGCCAGCGGAGGTCGTGGAATTTTTAAGGGCGGAAAAATTCAGGGAACAAGTCCTCTGGGAGGGACTTTAAGCTGTGGGTCCCGTGTCTCTGAGCAAAATTAGGCAACACTTTCCCACCCAAATAGTTCCCAATGCCTCTTGTAGATGGGGGAAATATCAGGTACCAATGGCTGACCTCATTGGCTGAACGGGGCTGATAGCACACGCCAGTACCAGAAGGGTATGGCGACAGTAGAAATTAAAGGGGGACACACAATGGACCAATAACTGGTCTAAGTGCATGGGGAAACCCACCCCCTCTAATAATAATAATAATAATAATAATAAAAAGAAATATGTGAGGGTGATTGTGGAGCAATTGGTGGAATGAAGATTGGCAGGGGAAACCAAAGTACTCAGAGAAAACCTGCCCCAGCGCCACTTTGTCCACCACAAATCCCACTTGACCAGACCCGGGATCAAACCTGGGCTGCCGCGATGGGAAGCCAGTGACTAACCGCTTGAGCTATGGCGTGGCCATCGTGCTGATTTTAGAATCACTTTAAAGAAAAACTTTCATAATATAATTCATGCAGTTTTATAATATCATTGTAATTGTCAGGTGGTGCGTCGGCGTAAAGCTGCAAGTAAGAGCCATGCTTCGAGCCAACAACGAGCTTCATTTCCAATGACACATCCTCACGTGTCAGAAAGTAAAGCTGCTCTCAAATTGGAACAGAGGATGAATAGCTCCAACCTCATTGGGCATAATGGAATTTCGGGGTCTCAGGATTCATCCAGTGAGAGACTTGGCAATGAAGGTGAGAACTTGCAGCCCTCTTGCATCATGGGTAATAACTCAGCTGTTACATGAAGCAAGAAGTTTGACCTTCAGCTTTTATTTATATGTGTCTTAATTCCAGTTTTTTCAATGACTGTCTTTAGCTGCAACTGCATGGTATCATATGATGGGATGGGATGATATAATGAATGTATAAGGGGTGGGCCTCCTCGGCCCTTGCACCGTGACCTACAGTCGTCTGTTGTGCTTTGGGATGATGATAATAAATAAGAAAATGGTAAGGATGTGGAAAAAAGGTGGTTGTAGCCTGAATTAAGTTTCTGTTCTGGTATTTGCATGGGTGGACAGAGGAGAACCGTGAAGAACTTCACTGTTTTGGCCAAAATCAAAACCAGGCACCTCCTGATTACAAGTCAGAAGTGTTACCACTTGAGCCATTTTGGCCTAGAAAAGAAAAAGGAAAAGTTTGAACATCGGGCTTTCTCACTTCCTCCTTTGCCTAAGGGCATTCAATTTATTATTCCCTTCTCACCCAATTTTTGGTAAAAGCTTGTGAAGTGATTGGCAGTTACTCATACTTTTGCTTTTAAGACTGTGGTCTTGTGTAGTTTCATAGGTGTTTATCAAAGCTTCTACCATGATAATGAACCACAGTACCATAACCCTCAAGAACTGATAGCTGAACTTAAACAAAAGCTGCAGGCCAGAGAAACCTAAGGATGAACATTACTTGCACTTTTGAATACACTGAAAGGACACTTGCCAGTATAAGGTATTGTTTTAAAAACAGATGAAGGAGACAGCAATAATTCGTTCGGATCCCGACGAGATCTGCATCGTCTAGCTGACACGCCCCTTCCTGAATGGGTCGTGCTTGGTGAGAGTGTCCTTATCCGGCCATATAATTCATCTGGTGTGGTTGCTTACATTGGTGGCACAGACTTTTCTGGAGGCACATGGATTGGCGTAGAGCTTGACGCACCTACAGGTGAGTGTTACCCAACATTGGGAGGTCCCTGTACAGGGGAAAGAGATATTCTGTTCTCCGTGGAGTCCAGACCAGCTCTGGGGCCCATCCAATCTCTTCTTTATTGGGTAATAAGAGGAACGTTAAGTGGGATTCCAGTGTACATGCCTGGGTTGCTGGTCCACTCTCCTGAACTGCAAAATACACATTGAATATATTTTTGAACGTCTCTCCACCAGTTACNCCCCCCCCCCCCCCGTATAATCCTTCCTTGTTTTCTGTCACTATTGGCCCAGACCGGGCACTGAGTTCCACAATTCCCCCCATAAATCTGTCAACAGAAAACCCTACACAAACTCTCAACTGTCCTACTCACTTCAGGACTGAAAATGGAGGCTGCATGTATCTCTCTGCCTGTGTTTGCACAATGCAAAGGTAACCCAAGAGCAGAGTGAACATAGTGAACCACTGTGCAATCAGAATGTTGTGTTCACACCTTGTGTAATGTTTTACAGGTAAGAATGATGGGTCAGTGCAAGGGGTACGCTACTTCACGTGCCGACCAAAGTGTGGGATTTTTGTACGTGCTGATAAGTTAATTCAAGACCGCCGGGGGCGTGCCATGCGTGTTGGTAGCAGTCGGCAGTCAGAGATTGGTACTATGAAAAGAAGTAGTAGCAGAGGTGAGTTGTACAATGTCAGTTTGTGTATCTAATGCAAAAGTGACATATCAAACATAACATTTGCTGTATTGTAAGCCATATTAGATACACTGTGAAGAGGAGTAAACAGCATGTCAAAGTGTGTATTGAATGATAATAAGTTAAGTTAATGTAAAGGAAAGGGGAGAAGGAGTGATGATGTGATGGACAAATAAGATGAACTGGAGAGGAATTTGGTAGAAAGGAGGTAAGGAAATGAAGATAATGTAAGATTTGAGGTTTTCACAGCGGTGACTATGAAGAAAGCAGTCTTCTGGGATGTGGCACTGTGTAGATGTGGTGTTAACCGACGTTTCGGAGGAACGTATCGCCTCCATCTTCAGGGTAGAAGGAAAAATAAGAAAATCCGCAAATGAAGAGACCGTGAGAACCGGTACAAGCAGACGTCTGCTTTAACTATCTTTAACTGTACAAGTAAACTTTAATTTCCTAATTTGAGTGATATTCCTTCTTGAATGTTTTAGCTGCTGCATATTGTGATATTTGACAAGGCCAGCAGCCATATCTTGACTATTAAAGAGATACTTGCTTGTCACCTTCATGAAATATACACACAGTATCCAACAGAACTGGGTTGTTGTGAATCAGCAGTTGTCACAGATCATCAGAAAATCATTAAGTAGATTAGTGGTTCAAGTGGTTTTCAATTCCATTGTTACAGGAGAAGGTCTGCCTACATTACATCGGTCTCGCAGCCGAGGAGAGGGAATGTGTTCCATTGGAACAAGGTCATTGCCGAGGAATAAATAAGATTTGTTGTGATGGGAAGTTGTTATGAACTAGTTAATGAGCAGGTCCCAATATGGCTCTGGCCTTACTGCTCCAAACTGATGGAGCAACTAACCAACCAGTCAGCAGCCAGCTAGCCCTCAACTCCAATTGGTCAAACCCATCTCGCACAGGTTAGGTTAGGTTAGGTAAGGTAAAGTAAATTGAGTATCGTCATGTAGAAGAAGGCTTCATAAAGAGACCATGAATAAGTAATCTTAGGAGGAAATACTTTTATATTTTGTTTTCATTTGTATGTTTTAAGGAGTGTACATTTTATGAGCTACAGGCAACTTAAGATACAAGTATGAGTAAATATTAATATTTCTGCAGTAAAAGTTTATTTATTTTAACTGATGTTATGTACATTTTGAATTTATTTCTGATGCCTTGAATATTTAGTTCTGTGTGTAGGTTAATTGAAACTGTAATATATATTTTATTTTATTTGTGTTCTATCTCTTTAAAGGAAGCAACTTTTCTAATGAAACTTCTTGATAGAATAGGCAGCCATTTTCTCTTTAATAAGAGAAAATAAGGCTTAAACTCAAAGTGGTTGTCATGGTAATTTTTTCCCTCCATAATTGAAATTTGAGCAGCTAAGAAAAATATTATTGTTGCTTTACATATTGCCCATTGGTATTTTATACTGTGTTGCTTTTATACATACAAGAAAATCTATCTTAATACAGGGTGTCCAGATAAAAGGTATCCAAAATAGAAAATGTATATTTCAGAAACTAATTGTCATACAAATATCCAGTTTATGTCATCAGAAAGGAAAAGTCTCAAAGTTTTTTTTTTTTTTATACGTATCCAGCTTATGCAATCACATTTGTGCCACCATGTCAGAAATCCCCTGGACAGAGAGATGGCTGGGATATGAATTGGCAGAGGTGGACCAATCGCTTCGGGTCCTAGGTCACCAGATTTAACCCCAGTGAAATTCTTCTTGTGGGGTTATGTGAAGAACATTGTCTACCAGGTTAGGATCAACAACCTTCAACACCTGAAAGCCCACATCAGGGATGCTGTGGCTATGGTAACACCAAACATGCTGCAAATATAGATTTTTGTCGTGCCACCAAGGGAGCCCACATTTAAATTTACTAAGAAAATATATATGCAGGAAAAAACTCTGATAGTTTCCCTTTGTAGTGGTGTAATGCATTAATGTGTATAATAAATTCTTTCTGAGATATAATAATTTTATTTTGGATACCTTTCATCCAGACACTCTGTATTTAGATACGGCAGGAGCCACGAATATTCCATTAATACATTCTGCAAAGAATGTTCCATTTTTCCTCCTTCTTCTGAAAATCTATGAATATCCAACATATTTATCATATTTTTTGACCTGTTGTGAATATTAGAATGTTTGAAGTGTAAATAATTTTTTTGCTGAAACCAGAAACTTCATTACATATAACAATAATCATTGTAACACTATTTCATTATAATTTTTGTGGTTCAGAAGACAAGGTTCCATGCTTTATCATATCGACCAGCAATATCAGCTGAGCTCAATGAAGTTCTTTAAGTCAGAGGTTATTGAGCATTGACTTAATTGACACAATAATTTTATTTGTATATATGTGATACAGCAGTAATGCAGTTGTTATATTAATTTTATTCTTGTGTTTTATTCACTCATACAGCACTAAATTGTGCCAAAAGCATGTTGTTAGTATGGTAAATGGAAAATGTGAGCATGTAACATCACTTGCCACATTGAATGTTAGAGGCAAGGTGTGTAAATAGTCTTGTTTTGATCTTTGGTAAATGAACTGAACGGTTAAAATGACTTGTTCTGTACTCAACACAGACCCACTTTGCCATTCTTGCAGTTTTTAACTCTGTGACAGTGAAAATAGTAGAGTCTCAAGCAGGATATATATATATATATACTGATTTGTAAAAGAGCCATGTTTGTACAAACACATAGAATTTTGCATTTTATAGGGTAAATCTGCAATATTGAATAAGAATAAAAATGGCCTCATAGCATGATTTCTTTCAACTTTGAGCTGTCCGACCACTTATTTTTAGGACTGTATCCCTTCATTTTCATATATATTTATTGTAGACATTCCCATTTTAAGATATGGTTTAAGTTTGATACTCTGCTTTATATAATCACATAAATGGACCAACTGAAATTGTTTCCACCGTTCTGCATAAATGGGAGTATGGTTATCTATTCCGCCATCTTATGAGTGAGGCATTGAAGAAATTTGGTCCTCTTCAGCGAGGAAGGTGTATGCTCCCCCCACTACCATGTTCTCCCATAATTAAATTTTCTTCTTTTAAAAAGACGCACCATTACCAGTAAAAAAGGCATTCCACTATTCAAAGAAATAATAAAAATGCACTCCTTTTTGTCTCTTGTCTGATATTAATGCTTAGTTTCACTACTGGTGTTATAAAAGTATTGTTTTCTATTATTTTTCATTCCATATATTATTTATTTTTAATTATGGTTTGTAGGTGGCTGACTTGGGAAACCTAACATCCGTTTACAACGTTATGTCTCTGAGAAATGGAGTTTAGAGTTATGAACTTGTGGTCTTCTGGGAATTGTCGCTGTGTGGTCTGGTGGAAGTTCACTGATCTTTCAGATGAACATCAGTGAACTTCTGCTGAACTATGCTGTGTCACATCTCAGAAGTTTGTGCTCCTCATAGTTATTGCAGCAGCTGGGATAGCTTTGACATAACAACAAGGCTATAGTCTTAGGAACTGGAATTTCATTTCTGACAGGGGCAAAAAATTTCCCCCTTTCCATAACATGCAGACTGGTTATTGGGCCCACTCGGCCTCCTATACAGTGAGCATCAGGGTTGTTTCCCCAGAGATAAAGCAGCAGGACCATGAAGCATCTCTGTCTAGTACAAAGGTTAAGAATGATAGAGCTATATCTCCAGTCCCCAGTACATCTCAAGGGTGTAGTGCTTAAGTAAGTAATTAGGCACAGGGGTAATTCAACTTTAGCTTTACATAGTCGCTGCTATGAAAAACTCAGATCCAGCTGTAACAAAAAAATACGTGGATATCTGAGCTTAAAATGGATGAAATATTGTCTAAAGATACTTTTGTGGAGGAATTCTACAGTCTCGACAAATTAGGGTACTTCACATTGAAAAATGTGATCATTTAATGACACGAGAACAGCACCATTGCCTCTAATATTCATTTGTTGTAATCATGAACTTTGCATCAATGCAATTGAAAGCTAAAATAGAGACACAGCGTGAAAGCATCTCTGAAAACTGTTTGGGCATTAGCTGGTGCACTTACTCCACGCATAGCTGCTAAAATAATATCTCCAATGCTCTTATAATGCTTTTATGGAATGCTCAAATTGTGATTTGAAGAAACTGTTCTTATTATACTGAGGAGACGAGAAATTTAAGGATAACATTCCATATTCATATTCATCCTCTGTATATAACATTTTTTGTATCCGTATTCTTATCTTTTGGTGTTGTTATTGCAGGTTTCAAATTTTGGCTAACCTTCTTACGTTAAGTTCACGTGTGATGAGTTGTGGTTAACTTATAAGGGACTGTTATTTAACCAGGGTGTCTGCTGGGCTCATTGGTTTAGCCCTAGTGCTCTAAACTTGTGTTGGGAAGTGACCAGTTCAAAACTTAGCCAGGAAACTGTCTATTCTGACTGAGGTCTTCTGTGGCTCAGCTTGTTCCCTCCAAGAAAATGCTGTGATATTACCTGGAAATTGGCTACAACCACTTCCTTTTATGTATGGCCTTTCCAGTCTGTCAGTTGCCCTGTCATTTGATGCTGTGGGTAACACTGGGCTGTTCTTGAGATCTTCAGTCAGATTTGTCTGTCCACAAGTTGAAACTGCCTACCCAAAAGCTAGATCCTGGGACTGAGAAGAATCCAAATTGCATAGCAGTATTAGTGAAAGAATAGTTTCACCTGAGCAAAAGACCACAGAAACTGCAAATATAAACACTGATTTTTTTTTCTTTTGCTGGTACATGTTGGTATGAGAGCCGTGATAGCATTATTGGTATAGCGACTGACTACGGGCTGGATCACCCAGGGGTCAGAGTTTGATTCCCAGTAGGGGCAAGAATTTTCTCTTCTTCACATCGTCCAGACTGGTTCTGATGCCCACCCAGCCTCATCCGATGGGTACCGAGGACGCTTTCCCTGGGGGTAAAGTGGCCACAGCATGAAGTTGACCACTCACCCTCAACAAGTGCTGAGGTTAAGAAAATGTGGGTCTATACAAGCACCCCCCCATACACCTTCCATGGTGTAGCGTTTAATTATTTAAGCAGAGGAACAACTTTACTTTTACATGTTGGTATGTTCACCAGCAAATAATTGATGTCTACTGTCGCACATTTACCAGTATGTTTCCACTTTGTGGGTAAAGCTGAGCATGAGAGTTCTAGAGAACGTATGAACAGATAAGAAAGATTGCCGGTATGCATGCATATATATGTATGGTGTATTCATCATGATGATATCTTGCTGTTCACAGTATTCCATGTAAAATAAAACAGGGTTGCAAACTGTAAATATATTGTGCACAGCATGCCAGTAATACATGAAGTATTTCAAGTTCCTAGTCTGTGTCATTTTTTAAACATTAAATCCCCCCCCCCCATGTGTTATAGATTGAAAGGCTACTCAAGTTTTTGTGTGTTTTATAATTTTATTTAATTTTGAGGTGATAGAAATAGTTAGTAATTTGTAAAAGTGTAATTTTTAAATGTCTCGCAAGTTTGTTTCTGAGGTCAGTGACTTAATTATCTCTCGCATGTCTTTATTGTAGCAGAACTTAATAAATGTTACTTGTTCTTTATTAAATGGGCCCTGTCACTGAAATACTGAGAACAGCAAGTGGTGATTAAGCATCTGTAGACGTTCATTCATATAAATCATTATATTCTGGGCTGGTTCGTATAATCATAATGCTCTCGCCTCATATTTTGATGTACCAAACTCTTGGTTGTTTACTGATAAACCAGACTGAGATTTCTTTATTGTAATTTCTTTTGCTTTTCCTGGTGGATACAATTAAAGTATCTTCAGACAGGTCACAGTTGTCTCATCCCATGCCCTTGTGTGTTCATCATTTCAGTTGGTAGGTTTTCATGATGATGACTG